TGACGACACCAAGCTGAGTGGTGCGGTTGATACGGTGGAAGGAAGGGATGCCATTCAGAGGGACCTCGACAGGCTGGAGGGCTGGGCTCGGGTGAACCTGATGAGGTTCAACACGGCAAAGTGCAAGGTTTTGCATTTGGGCCGGAAGAACCCCAGGCACCTGTACAGGCTGGGAGGAGCGGTCCTTGAGAGCAGCTCGGCAGAGAAGGACCTGGGGGTCCTGATGGACGAGAGACTGAACATGAGCCAGCAGTGCGCTCTGGCAGCTCGAAAGGCAAATGGGATCCTGGGCTCCATCAGGAGAGGGGTGGCCAGCAGGGACAGGGAGGTGATTGTCCCTCTCTACTCGGCTCTTGTGAGGCCCCATCTGGAGTCCTGTGTCCAGGTGTGGAGCCCTCAGTACAAGAAAGACATTGAGATTTTGGAAAGGGTCCAGAGGAGGGCGACTAAGATGATCAGGGGGCTGGAGCACCTCCCCTATGAGGACAGGCTGAGGGAGTTGGGCTTGTTCAGCCTGGAGAAGAGAAGGCTGCGGGGTGACCTCATTGCAGCCTATCAATACCTGAAGGGAACCTACACCCAGGAGGGGAGTAAACTCTTCAAAAGGGCTGATAACAGCAGGACTAGGGGAAATGGTTTTAAGTTGAAGGAGGGAAGATTTAGGTTGGATGTTAGGGGGAAGTTCTTTACTAGGAGAGTGGTTAGGCCCTGGAACGGGCTGCCCAGGGAGGTTGTGGATGCCCCGTCCTTGGACGTGTTTAAGGCCAGGTTGGACGGGGTCCTGGGCAACCTGATCTGAATGTGTATGTTTGGTGGCCCTGCTAGGCAGGGGGGTTGGAACTACATGATCCTTGGGGTCCCTTCCAACCCGGGTGATTCTGTGATTCTGTGATTGTTGAAAATGTGCAGCGAATCACGTTCTTAAAGCTTTGAAAATAGAAGTGAAGATGAGCCATGCAGCTTTGCAGACTTACACTAGTTGAAGGAAACCTGCTGCAAGTATTCAGACAATCCATGCACTTTGCATGTTAATGGGAGCTGACTGGTATCCAGGCTGTGCTGGTGTTAATGTGCTCTGGAATTATATATAATGCTTTTAAAAAAAAAACAAAATCACAATAAAAGCAAGCCCTCTAGCTAAGGGTAATTATTTGTACACAGATACTGTTCTGAATGAAACAGGGGAGAATGCTTGGAGATGTTACTCAGAAATTTTAGGTTTCAAGAACGCTCTGAAAACAGCTCCATCATTATTAATTATTTTCCCATTATTCAGTTTGTATTTAGAGTTGTTTGGGGTCTTTGAGCTGTGTAACTTTCATGGACGAAGTCGAGTTCATTAATTTCATTCATTTTCTGTCGACCTGAGTCATAAACATGCTCGTGAATGTTTTAGGGAAATGTGTGCCAACAGCACTGTGGCATGGCATAGTCTTTGGCTAACCTCTCACCATCATTGAAGAGCCATCCTGCTTTGAGTTCAGTGGGCTTATTTGCTGAGGTTTTAATGTTGATTGCAAGCAGATATTCCCACGCTGTCTTTCCAAGGGAAAGCTGTCTTCTGGAAATGGCCTAGCCTCTTTTTCTAAAGCTTACACCTGCCTGAGCTGTCTGTGGGCTCAGAGGAAGTTGAAAATGCTTAGCATTGTACAGGGCTAGGCTTCTCCTTTGGGCAGTGACAGTATTATTCCAAAGAATAAAATGGGAAATAACTGTACAGAGAACAAGGGCTCTCAAACTTTTTCCATAGGATTTGGCACGCGTTCAGGGGGAATTTGTGGTCTGGATATTACAGAGAATTTTTGGAGTAGAGGAAATAGCTGCCTTTGCTAATCTCGTTTAGAAAGGCATTAGCTGTATCGTTATAATTAAAGAACTGGATTTACAGCTAATATCATATGACCAGTGGTTCTCTGTAGGTGCTCTGCTGGTGACCATAGTCTGAGAAACACATGTGATGAGTGCAGTAGTCTTAAAACAGTTTAATGTTGGAGATGGTTAACACATGTTGTCTCCTTTTTTCACAATAATTGTCTGGACTCCAATGGGGCTGGGCCCAGGAGAAATTTTAGTTGTGATACGGAAAGGAAAAGAAAGAATGAAAATATAGGTTCTGGGCATTCTAAAATGAACTTTTAAAAACAGAATAGAGCAAAACATGCTTTGGTTCTTATGAAATAGGTCAAAATCATAGAATTATTGAGGTCGGAAAACGACCACTGAGATCACATTAGTCCAACTGCCAACGCATCCCCACTGTGCGCACTGACCATGTCCATCAGTGCCACATCTACACATGTTCTGAACATCTCCAGGGACAGTGACTCCACCTCTTCCCTGGGCAGCCTGCTTCAATGCTTGACCACTCTTCCTGAGCAGGAATGTTTCTTAAAATCCAACTGGGTCTCCCTTGGTCACTTAAGGCCATCACCTTCTGTCCCATCACCAGTTACCTGGGAGGAGAGGCTGGCCCTGCCTCACTACAGCCCCCTTTTAGGGAGTTGTAAAAAGCAATGGGGTCACTCTGAGCTTCCTCTTATCCAGTCAGTTTCAATAAAAGCAACATAAATAATGAACTCGTTTCCTTCCATTCAATGTGATTATTGTGTTGTCATGTTTCTTTTGGGAAACTGACAGACTTCTCATTTTCTTGTCAGTGGTACATGTGACTGAACCCAACTCCCTTTCGGCCATGACTAGTCTATGGAGTAAAGAGATGAAGTCAGAATCTTGCCCTCTGCTCCACCTTAGTATAATTTCCTAAAAATTAAATGTGTAGAAAGTTTGTTGTAATGTTTTTATGTAAGTTAAAATGTTTTCCCGAATTTGGTTGAATTCCAAAATTACTTCAGCCACCATGAAATGGCATTTTCCAGCTAATAAATTTGCCTGGATCCCCTTCATTGGAACAGCTTGGCCTTAACTTTGTGATTGGATTTAGGACTATTTCAACCAAACTAAGATACGTGGAATGCATTAAAGATAATCTGTCCCTGGTCCTTTATTTGGTAGAAGTAACGGGGCAGCAGGTGCTGTGACTGAATGAATCAGAAGGAGTTAGAGATAATGGATGGCAAAGCAAAGAAAATGTAATTTTTTTTTTTTTTTTGCCTGAGAGCAACTGATCATTTGACAAGATTTTATTGTAATGACTGTGCTTCAGTTTTGCCAGATGATTGATGCACACAGTACTCTGCATAATCTTTTTTGGTGATGGATGTTGGTGCCGTGAAGCAACAGTTACTCACTATGCTGCTACTGAGCATGAATTTTGAATTACTTGTGGCACAGAGCTGCCTGGTAGTTCAGTCAATGAAATGAAGGTCAGGAGGAGCCCAAGATAATGTTTCTCCTGCACATTAACCCCTTCGGCTCATGTACAAGCAGTGTTTCTGATAACAAGTTAAGAGATCACGTCCCTAGATTCCCCACACATGGGATGAAGGAAGGAGAAAGCTTCTGAACCACTGCTTACTTTTGTTCTCTCCCTATTCTATCATCAAGAATGAATTATTGAACAATACTGTTGCTTTCTTGACAACAAACAAGAAGATGAGCTGATCTGCCCAAAGCAGGTGGACCCCTCCTGTACAAGATTCTTCATGTGTTTAATTATGTAGCTCTGTGTCAAAGAGAGCGCTGCCAGTAGGAGTGGTGTTTATGTGACTAACACAGACAAATCATCAGTGGCTTTTTTAATGATTTTTTTTTTTCTTGGAAGCCTCAGTGTTTAAGGGATGGGGAGCAGGAGAAAATCTAGGTGTCAGTTGCTGTTGGTGCAGTGCACGTGGGCAGTCTGGGTGCTTCTCAGCTCAGCCCAGTGGAAACTGACTTTAATTGAGAGCACTGATACCGTGACAGCAGCGTAATAGCAAGGAAATACACACTGTGTGAAGAATTTCATTTATAATTGTCTAGCAATTTGGGCTCCAGACGTGCTAAATCAAGTGAGAGCAGGGAGTTAATTTAGGGCATGAGCTGTGAATTATTTTGAGGAAAAGGTTATCCTTCTCCTGGGCCTGCAGAAAAGGCTGAGGAAGACGAGTATGCTAGATTTTAGACAACATGGCTACAATACATTCCTGCATTGTGAGCAGGACAAACAACTTGTCATTTCTGCTGCACAGCTGAATTTATTTAACTGCTGTTTAACAAAGATGAAGGCACTGACAAAAGCATTTTAGTATGTCAAGTTTTTATCCCATGATCTTTTAAGAGAATGATAATTTTTTAATTCTGAGCTTGCACCTTTCTTTTTTCTTTAATTGGGATTTCACTCTTCCATATTTTCTTCTTTTTTCTTTTTTTTTTTTCCCTAACTTGGAACAGAAAGTAGAAAATGAAGGAGGGGAAAATACAAAAGAAAAAAAAAAGTGCAAATGTGGTAATTATCTTTGTCACGGGAAAAAAATCAAAACAAACATTTTAAGAGGACATCTGTGCAGACTTATGTTGTTAGAAAGTCTGTTTTCCCCTAATGAAAACCTAATAGGAGACCTTCTGTGGAATCTGTTTAACAGATGGGCGAGTCTAAAGTGACCCTGTAGTATAATGAAGTTGATAGTATTTCCTTACCTTTGCATGGTATTTCTGGAGTAGTATTTCTTCATACACACAAATGCACCTTTGCCTGTAAAACAGCCTTCATCAGTGCCTGAATTTATCAACAGACAGTGCTCACCAGGTTACTTGATTCCTTCTGTCTGGGATGAAATCAGCTCTTTTAACTTCGGTGTTGAACTCCAAGTGATTTCTGTTTTAACATATTTCAGTATGATTGAGAACTATCACATCTCACTGACCTATCTGAGCCCAAACATAACGTGGCGTTTGTTCAATGTCATGGTGACTGATATTTTTAAAAGAGTTCTGTGGACATCCCACAGCTTACATACGTTAATCATGTGCGCTGGGCGTCGTGCTGGATCCAGCTTTTAACTGATTCCCACTCTCAGACCTGTTTCTCTTTGTTCTAACCAATTTTTGTTTTCCTCTTCCAGGTTGAGATCTTTGGTAAAGCAGCTAGAAAGAGGGGAAGCTTCTGTTGTAGACCTAAAGAAGAACTTGGAATATGCTGCGACGGTCCTTGAGTCAGTATACATTGATGAAACGAGGTGAGTGAATTACAGGCATCCATGTTTGTCTTCTAGGGAGCACCAATTGCACAGAATTGTAATGCACGCATCACCTGGGAAAGTTGTAGTCATGATTCACTGAAAATATGATTTTAATTGTTAGAACATTGTATTTCTTGAAAAGCAGATCTTCAGTTCTTGGTCTGAAAACTTCTTGGAGTTTTGTGTGGCAAGGGGGAGATGAAAAAAAAATCACAAATTTAACATACGTTCTCTTGGAGAAAGATTTTCATAATAATTGTTTTCTAGTTTTTGTGAAAGTTTCTGGGGAAAGCTCAAAATTCATACCCCTCTACTTCTTTTGAAGAGTTAATTCACTTTTACCAAATCTTTGAAATTCAGAGGTTTTTTTACTCAAGTTTTTGGTAGAAATTGGCAGATAAGAAATTGCAGGAGAGTTTCCCTTTCTTTATGTGCTGTTACCCCAGTGCTGAGTCACCACGTGTGGTCAGAATGGGAGAGGATAGGACTGTGTGATACTCACTGGGAGGTCAGATGTGACTGTCAGTGATCTCTGGCTGGCTGAGAGGTCAGGAATAGTAATGAGCTGAAGACGAGATGTGAGGATGATGATGTAGTTGTGCTTCAGAAGGCTGATGCTTCTTGTTTGTCAGCCTGGTAGTGAATTTCACAATCTAGCACTTAACTGCTCAAGAGCACGAACAACCTGTTGTAGCCTTGCAGAAAGAGGTTTTATTAGGCTTTTATTAGAATAGATGTGCATTTCTTTTTGGTTAATGATGTCGCAATGGTCTCTTATGCAATTTTTTTACCCTTTGCTTTCCTTCCTCTTGTAGGCGTTTACTGGACACAGAAGATGAGCTCAGTGATATCCAATCTGACTCCGTGCCCTCAGAGGTCCGGGACTGGTTGGCTTCTACCTTCACACGGCAAATGGGGATGATGCTCAAAAGGACAGAGGAGAAACCCCGGTTCAGGAGTATTGTCCATGCAGTACAAGCTGGGATATTTGTGGAAAGGTAAAGGAACATGAAATGACTTGGTTCTAGTAGCTGCTCATGCACTGCCAATTGCACCTGCAGTATTGAGACTCAAATATGACTCTGAAGATGTTTCTACAAAGATCTGGTTGGCAAACAGCTTCTAATACAGTGCAACCTGAAGCAGCATGTGTGGATCTATTTTTTCAGCATAATGCAGATGTAATAGCACAGGTGAAGTAATTTTGACAGAGAATACACACCTCTGAGTAGTCCTAGGTCAACACTCAAAGTTTTTAAAGTTTAGCCAGTTCGCTTCAGGCCCTCCTGTGCCTCTTGACTTCTGTTGTCTATTTTTTTTTAATGAAGAAGGCAGGAGGGGGTAAGAAATTCTATGATTTAGGTAGTGGGAGAGTTCTCCAGAGGGGCATGACAATTTTTTTCTGTGTTTGAGAGCAGGATGTGAAAGGGAAGTGAAGGACTTCACACGTGATCATGTCAGATGGGAGAAGAAAGCTTTCCATCATCTCTTTTAACTCCTGTGTTTCTGAAGTGTAAAAAAGAGTGAGCTGTGGAAAGTGTTTTAACAGTCAGTATTTGTGAATTCACATAGCTTATTAAAAACAATATGGCCTATAAACAATTATAAATTCCAGTATGTATAATCCAGTGCATTCTTTAGTATGGTTACTGATGTTCATTATGTCCTTCTTCTTTTTCATACACAAACAAAGAACACCTAAAAGGTTTTGAACTGATATTATTTAAAAAAAAAGAAGAGAGAAGAGTAGTAGTGGTACTGGACTGCAGTTGATGCTTTGCAGACGGCAGATGATTTCTGGAGTACACTGAAAATGGGCTTGAGTGCAGGACAAGCAAGAACTACAGAAACTGAAAGGGAGGTGTGGTTTGCTGCAGTGGAAAACGAGGAGCATCTTGTTTATTTGAGTGCAGCCTTTCCCTCTGATGAAGATTTGGTATTAACAGATTCTTCCTAATCTCCAGCCTAGGGACCAAGGTGTGCGATACTGGGAAGTCTATGGCCTTGAGCGAGTCTCTACCATGAAAGTGGTATAGAGAGCATGTGCACAAGCCAGGAAAAAGAAAGAAAAATTGTAGTTAGAGTTTGTTGGTCTATGCAGGATCTCCTGTAACAGCATATTTCTTTGTTGTGGTTATATTGTTTAACTTCATTTATATGTTGCCTTATCTATTTTATCTTGGTAGAATGTACAGGCGGACGTCCAATATGGTTGGTTTGAGCTACCCACCAGCTGTAATTGGAGTGCTAAAGGTAAGCCCAAAGAGAAGGGGATGGTGGGAGAAGGCTGGGACGCTTGTAAAAAGCATCAGGGTAACACTGTGATGTTTTCCGTGGGGAAGGGAGTGTTGGAACTTTGCCTTTTCTTCTTTGTGAGCCTGTTTAGTCAGGCTCAGGTCTGTTCCAAATTTCCTGGCCTGTGGGAATATTCTTTGAGTAAAAGAAAAAATAGAGTTCAGAACTTGAGAATGGTCATATCCTTGAAGTTTCCAGCTCTGTTGTAGCGTTCAGCTGCGAAGGTGCCAAATTAGTAACATGCTGAAATCAATCATGAGTTTGCAGAGGGAAGAATGAAAATGTGGGTGCAGAGAAATGGAGCAGGAAATGTATCAGTGAGTGTGCGAGCAGGGATTTTCTATCACTGTTGAAGGTGACAATCAGCTATGGAGTAATATTCTGAGAGTTTTGAGATTTCATTTGAAACGTGAGAGATCACCAGTAGGCTGAAAGAAACAGATTTCATTCCTGGGGAAATGGCAAGCTTCTCAATTTAGGCAGGATGCCTGTGTCAGTGCCACAAACACAGGTTTGCCAAAAGTTCTCTGCGCAGCAGCTTTGCTGAGGTGTCGTATTTGTGCAGGAGACAATTGACTTGTGGTTCAAGCATGGCATGCAGTGGTGGAAAAAATGCATCATCAAAAGGAATGTATACAGGGGCATCACACATGTAAAGATTGTGAAGCAGTCCTTCTACTCTCGTCTACACAGGAAAGATACTCAGGGTACTGAATCCTTTTCATTTTTGGATAGCACAGTTTATTTATCAGAAGATAGGGAGGATTTGCACAAAGGCCACTGAGTGCAACAAGAAGGATCCAACATGACCTTCATTTACAGAATGGAAGCATTCATTCCCCCCTTTTTCCAGCCCCAGATTTCCACGTGTAATCCTGCAGATGGAATCTCGTGTCTTTCTTCTCTTAGAACAACAGCCTGTGGCCAGACTGTGGGAGAACATGCCTGTTATGGTTCATCCTCAGCAGTGACAGAGCAATGCAATACTTACCAGCTGTGCTGAGCAGGCATAAGCCTCAGGGCATCCTTCTTCCCTTTCTGTATTTGTAAGATCCTAAAGGTCATAAGCAGTATGGAGTGGGCTAGAGGAAGTAGGAGCCCTGAATATCAGCAAAGGCACTGACTAATTTTGCTCCAGGTGAGCTAATCCCATCTTGGCCATTCCAGGATGTCTTTTTTTGTTTTTTCCAAAACTGTTTTGAGAACAAGTCTGTGTCTGGATGTTCTTGTGGTAGGTAATGGCTGTGGCTTAAATAGGAAAGAGTTGTTTAGAAGAAGTGGTCTTTGGAAAGAGACTTTGTCGTATTCTTTTACCAAGTAATATGTGATCTGCTGATCAGTGGTGCTAGAGGCAGAACTTAATATTAACAAGACAAACTGCAGAAATATTCTTCTGCTTAGGAAGGATTTCTTTTTTTCAGCCCTTTCTGATGCCCATGGTGTCATGGAACTGTTTTGTTGGTTAGCTAATATGCAGCAAATGTAGTTGCTGACAAAGTGATGTAGTGTCTGCAGGCAGGCAGGGTCTGCAGTGTAAACATGTACTTGACTTTGGCTGCAAAGAATTGTGAGGCCAGGAATTGTAGACTCCTAGAATGATAAAATGGTAGAAAAGGACGCCAAGGATCATTTAGTTCCAACCCCCTGCTGTGTGCAGGGTCACCAACCAGCAGCCCAGGCTGCCCAGAGCCACACCCAGCCTGGCCTTGAATGCCTGCAGGGATGGGGCATCCACAGCCTCCTTGGGCAACCTGTTCCAGTGCCTCACCACCCTCTGGGTGAAAAACTTCCCCTAATATCCAACCTAAACCTCCTCTGTCTCAGTTGACAACCATTCCCCCTTGTCCTGTCACCATCCACCCTTGCAAACAGCTGTTCTCCCTCCTGTTTCTATGCTCCCTTCAAGTACTGGAAGGTCACCATGAGGTCTCGTCGGAGCCTTCTCTTCTCCAAGCTGAACAAGCCCAGTTCCCTCAGCCTTTCCTCATAGGAGAGGTGCTGCAGCCCTCTGATCATCTTGGTGGCCCTCCTCTGGACCCGCTCCACTAGCAGTGCATCTTTCTGGTGCTGCACCATCAGTGATGTCATGTTGAACAGCAAATGAGCTGTCCCTAAATCAGCTGGCTGATAAAACCAATCAAGGCTCTAAGGTTAGCAGATGGAAAGGCAAATATACGGAACATTGCGGAAGAACTGCAGTTGGGCCAACTCTTGGTTCGGCCAAGAAGTGGAGCAAAGGTCAAATTTCAGACCAAAATGGATAGAAGGTAGCCTTATGACTGTAGCTCCATCACAGTGCCTATAGATAGCATGAGAGCACTTTGTGACATTTCATGGGAGGCTGCAGGGCCAGTGAGCTGGAAATGTGTAGCCCAGGAACTTTCCCCATCCCTTGCTTCTCCTGCTCTCTTCACTGACAGCAGTTCTTGTCCTCCCCCACGAGGTGCCTGTAAAGTTCTGCTTCCCTTCCAATTTCTCTCCAACATGGACATCACATCTGTGCTCAGCTTTTATAGGATGAAGATTTGCTCTAATTTTCCAAGTGTTGCTGGTGCTGCAGGCCTCTGAGCAAAGGGTGATACTCTCTTGTTTCCTTAAGGGGACATTTTTCCCTTGGTATTTAGAATAAACCGCTACTGTCCTGATTGTCAAGAATATTTCCCTTGGTGCAATGGAAATGACTCTGCAGTCAAACTGAGTGTCTGCTTGGCTATTGCCACTGTGCAGTGCAGGAGAAGAATATTTTGCCATTTTGGAATTCAGTTCATTTGATCTGCCGCAAGAGCACAACATTACTGCAATGAAAAGACACGTAAAGAAACACCAACCTTTATTTCTACAAAACAGACTATTTCTATAAGAAAGAGTAATTTCTTATTGAATATAGTGAGATATTATTTTCAACTTCATAGGAACTAGAAGGAACTACTATTTTTTAATTAATTCTATAATAAATACCAATTTAAATGTAAAGTCTATAATGTCTTTAAATTATAAAACTAAATTCTATTATTGTATATTATACATCTAATTATATGACTATTATAGATATGCAGTCATGAAATGCTACTGCTTCCTAACTGAAACAAAATCAAAACAGTCCAAGAAGGGCATAGGAGTTTCGAGAGCTTCCTCTTCGGAGCTGGAGGTGCATTACTGATAGTGAGCGCTGTCAGCTCATGCTGCCATCCATGGGAGTTGCAACCTTCTGCAAGAGATTTAATAGGTTATAATGTAGCTTTATGAGTTGGGAATTGAACTCGTCTTCTTCCATCTCTTGACTGAGCCCCCTGCAGCGTTAGTATAGGATTTCCAGCGAACTGTAACCCTCTCAACTACAGTTAGATATTTACTTGTATGTTATAAGGGTCATTTTTCATACCATTGTTAGCACGTAACGTAGCATTACTATGAGAAACCCCAGTTAACTCACTTGTCTTCAAAAAGAAAAGAAAATTAAAAACACGCCTACTATTAAAAAGAGAATCATGCTGTCTTTGGGCAATTAAAGCTGCAGTAGTCAGAAGGAACTGGGATCTGTTTGGGTCGGGCAAGGTAGGTTGAGATATTTTTTTTTCACTGGTTCACTGTGCAGCAGGTGATGAAAATATGAGCACAGGCCAGTATGCAAGTGCCCATAACCATATTTCCTTGATGAAGGCAAGCTAAGGTGTTTTTTGCCCATAGGCTTTGCTGGTTCCATTGGTGAATCCCTGTGACTTGAATAAGCAAGTAACTGAAGTTTTGAATAGAAACTTCTTCCCTGTGAGTCGTACTGTACTGATGAGTAAATTAGACTCCGTACTGGTGAAGTGGAGAATGTTGTCAGTGAAATCTGTACCCTCTCATCATCCATGTGTAGCTGTAAAGTGATAGACATTGAAATGTGATGGTGAAATGGATGATCAGGTTAACATTCTTTTCTATTCATTCTTGCAGAATGTAGACAAGTGGTCCTTTGATGTATTTGCACTAAACGATGCCAGTGGAGATCATGCACTGAAGTTCATTTTCTATGAACTTCTCACGCGCTATGATCTGATCAGTCGTTTCAAGGTCAGTAGTTACAAGATGGGTCTCTTCTTCCATCTTGCATTTTCTTGTATCTCATTCTTATTCTGCTTTGTTCTATTCAGAGTGGAATGATTTTAGCAATATTTGAAAGTGTATGTGGAGACTTGGCAGTCACTGTCATTCCCCCTAAACGGGGAAGAGAATCTTTCTGCAGCAACCAGGACCAAACGTCCTTCAGGTAGAACATTTAATTGTAGTAGGACAGCATGAAGCAGGTGGAGTTCCACACAGTCTTATTCATGACATGCAGAGGGAATGGTACTGTAATTCTCCCAGTATTCTTAGGAATCTTAAAGCATTCAAGCCAAAAATGACAACTTGGTTTGCTACAGGTTTCAGAATAGAAATGCTATTTAAGGGGGAGTAAAAGGTGCTCCATATCTTCTACTTTGAACAGTTCCTTTGTAACTGTGAACAGAGTGACATTTGGGTCACTGCAGCATTGCCCTGAGGTGTTTCCCATTCTCCCCACCCAAAGATTCCATGTTCCCTTTCTCTGCTGACACTTACTGTGGCAGGACTCCTACTTTCTTCGACTCCTGCGCTTCTTTGTGGACTTGTCACGCCTGCTGAGAAATGGTTGAAGATGAGAACAGATTAGAACTGCATTGTCCCACACTCCAGAGGGAAACAGCTGTGCAACTCTCACGACAGAACTAGAGAGGTTTAGGGTACAGCAGGTTGTGCCAAGCACTGAAGAATCCCTGCTGCTTGTTGCATCTATGTACAGCTGCCACCACCTACATAGCATGCTCCCTAGAAATCCCCCAAGTGTGGTTTTATGTTGTGCATACAGTTATACTCTGGGAGCCAGAACTCAGACTTGCTATATGAGGCATTTCCTTACAAACCTCTAGAATACAAGTAGTAAAGTAGTGATGTATACTAGATTGTTGTGAGAGGATGAGACAGACGTGTGTGTCCTGAACAGAAATATTTCTCCAGGAACAGCACACCAGCTACGCTCTGTTCCTTGTGGCACTGCTTGTGTTTTGCAGGCAGCGTTTCACAGTGGACTGACTTGCGTATGTTTAAGTGCATGTGTGCTTCATCCATCATGTAATGAGGGGTGGGAAAGCCATTTTGAGGAAGTGAGCTTGATTCACTCTCTCTCTTGAGTACTTGTTGAAGGTGTTTACAGATGGTATTTATTTGGGAAGTGCAGTCAGTACAGACTGCTCTTTGGAGCCTCTCCTCCAAATGCTAGCTATCACAGGTGATTCTTTGATTTTTAATTGTGTGCTTCTTTTCTTAGATCCCTATTTCTGCCCTGGTGTCCTTTGTGGAAGCTCTGGAGGTTGGATACAGCAAACACAAAAATCCTTATCACAACCTAATGCATGCTGCCGATGTGACACAAACAGTCCATTACCTCCTTTTCAAGACAGGTGTAGTGGTACGTACAGGAGTTGGCATCCTTAGTACATAACGAAATGGCAGTAGTTTTTGTTTGGTAAGGAGATTATCATTATCCACAGCAGAGCCATTTGTGCTGTAGAAAAAATGTAATTTGCAGGGGCTGTGCTAATGCAGGTATACATTTGGGGGATTCCTTGGAAGAATTTGGGTGAGGATATGGGTAACTGTTGTAATTGATGGGAGAGAGGATGAGTGAAAAACGCAAGCTGAATTCTCCCCTCTGCCATCAATCTGCTGGCTGAGTCTAGCAAGTCAGTTTGTTGGGATTTCATTTCCCTTTCTGTGAAGAAACAAATTGCCTAAGCTTTCTTCAGAATACAAAATGAAGTAATGTATTGCTTAACCCAGTTTGGCACCCCTTTTCAAGGTATTGCTCACCGTTTTCTCTTGCTGTCCATTCTTGGGCGCTGTTTCTTGAGCCCACGTGGAGGTGGATCCACCTCCATGGGCTGCTGCTCCTCTGGAGGTGGATCCACCTCCATTGGCTCCGGTTCCTCTAGAGGTGGATCCACCTCCATGGGCTCCTGTTCATCTAGAGGTGGATCCACCTCCATTGGCTCAACTTTCCATCTCCTCCCCATGAGTTTCCTCTTTTTTTGGGAAGGAGGATCCATTTTTCAGAGGTGCTTCTCTGCCTCTTGCTGTTGGTTTGGCAGTTGGAGGGCTCGGAACACGAGGCAGTGACATCAGCAGAGTTCCATGGCAACCCAAAAATGAGAGCTTTTGCAGTTGGGGCCTATGGCCTGAGAGTTGCCCCAATTTTGAAGGAGAAGGAAGGTCCTGGAGAACTGAAGGACTCTGTCCTGGGAAGGGCTCATCTGTTGCATTGTGCTTGCCAGAGAGAATTTGTGGCACTTGGACCAGAGGCCCCGTGGAGACTCCAGCCCTTTCTTCATCCTGTGCCTCCAATCCATTTGTACTGATGAGTGGCAGGATTACGCCAGGAGTGTCCTCTTCCTGGCAGCAGCTGGCTTCCTGCAAGTGGAGGCAGCCTGTTGCCCAGCCGTAGCGAGGAGGAGACAAAGGTTGCTAACAACCCTCAGGCAGCCTAAGGACATGCAGTCAATAAAGAACTGCTGAATTTCAAGGGTGGTGTGAGTTCTCCTTTGCTGTCCTTCACCTCTGCCCCTGCAGCATGGAGGAGGTAATGTTTATGTGCCCTGTTCCCCAAGGGAGAGCAGTGGGGAGGAGAGGGCCTGGTGTCCTCTGAGTGGCTGTGCTGGAATGGAGTGATGGGTCCATTGGAGGGTCTGTGAGATCCTTGAGGCCTACTGGTGGCTTTTTCACTCTGAGGATGAGAGGGCTGATTTGGGATTGCTATCCTAAGTGTTTTCTCCCTCCAGCTACTGAATGTGCGGCTGAGAGTGGAAGCAGGCCACACATGGCAGTCATGAAGAGTAGCTGGAGATCTGTTGAGCCTCCAGATAAGAAATTAGGACAGATTTCATCTCTGGATCTCTGCTTCTCTGGAGTAGTGATCTTGAGAGGGGGGCTGAGGGGCAGAGGCCCAGTTCCATAGATGCTTATCCCCATCAGGTGACCCTTACTGTACCTCAAGCAGCATGAAAGTGTTCACAGGCCAACATCGTGTGAAGAGGAAAGGGAGGTGTTTTTGTCAGGTGCGGTGACTAAATTACAGCTGGCATGCCAAGAAACTGTGCAGCTTCTTGTTGAACTAAGGAAAATTAAGCTGTTTTTGTTGGTGTTTCTGACAACGGTGTCGTCTTGTCTTTCCACCGCTGTTGCCCTGTTAGAAAAGTCAGGCTTTGCCTTGTTACACACTCCCAGTAATTTTGAGGAAGGAGGAGGAATGCAGGTTCTAAGGGCACCCGTCCTGGGGCTGGCTTCCCACTGCCTGTTTTTCCACTTGCCAGTGACAATAGATACTTCCTGGGCTCTGGGACTGCCCTTCATTTCATCTGGTGTTCTTAGGGTTCCAGCTCCTTGTTCATACCCTTCCTGGGCTTGCCTAAGGAAGCTGTCAACTCTCAGTTATTTTTCTCTCTCCTTTTTTTTTTTTTTAATGCCACTGCGCACACCTTATCTTTAGAGGATTAGTTTTCAGTTCTTTGTGGCATATTCTTACTAGCTTTTAAGTGGCAGAGATGGTTCAGATGTGGTGAAGGTGCTGATGACTGCTATAATTTTCATGTCATAATAACCAGTATGGCTGAGGCAGATCTCAGCACTCTTTTTTCTTATTCATTTCATCAGTAGTTTTTTGTGTTTTTTTTTGTTTTTTTTAAATGTCACGTGACCAGATCCAAAATATGGGATAGGTTTGTCTTGTAGTAGTCAGTAATTGAATTTTCTATTGGGCATTTCCTTGGCCTATTTTGCTAGGCATTGCTTTGCTGGACAATGTTCTGCTGCAGTCACACCTCTGAATACTTGCCCTGTTGCAAGTTTGAGTCTCTGGAGGTAACGAACTCAAGGGTGTGTCTTCTGTATCAGCTTGGTGTTCCTGATCGATGATTGAAGTTTAATCTTCTTTTCCTTTTCACTATTTTGCACTGTTTCTTCTTTTCTTTTAAGCAGACTTATGCTACATTTTAAAAAATGGCTTATGTTATGTTATTTTTCTTCCAATTAATTCTTCAAGAAACACACAGGCACTTTTGTATTCGAATTACTATTCAAGTGAAAGAACTTTGATTCTCCATGGAACTCCTTCCTGAATATAAGACTGAGCTTGTCAACTAGAGTATAAAGGACAAGAAGATGAATCGGAAATAGCAGGGAGATCTCTGACTTTATAATCCCACCAAGAACACCGCTAGTGAGAATTGTGTCTTCCCAATACATCAGTAATAATATTCATAAAGCCTGTGCATCCTGTGCTGTGCCTGTGTGATTTCACAGCAGTGGGAAGACTTTTGAAAAAGGCATAGCCTCTTAACTTATTTCTGTTTGGAGACTAGAGAATATATATATTGAAGTTAAAGAAGGTAAACTCTTTCACTTGATTAGCTTTTCCTCTGCTGTATGGACAACACTTCTCTGAAATAAAGGGGTCAGCCCAGATAAAATACAGGTCATTCTGAAGGTGTTTCATGTCAAGCATTAAGTGGTTCTTGCGCATTATTAATGTCATTAAATAAAGTCCAGTAACATCTCAGTGGAAACACATCTTGCAGACAGTTTCTGGGTTCTAATTAGCCAAGGCTGCTATATGCAATCCACCATAATGTAGGCATTGGGCTAGTTCAGCCTGGAGAAGAGAAGGCTGCAGTGTGATCTCATTGCAGCCTTCCAGTACCTAAAGGGAGCCTACAAACAGGAGGAAAGTAAACTTTTTACAAGGGTAGATAATGGCAGGACATGGGGAAATGGTTTTAAATTGAAGGAGGGAAGATTTAGGTTGAATGGCAGGGGGAAGTCCTTTACCAAGAGTGTGGTGAGGTGCTGGAACAGGCTGCCCAGAGAACTAGTGGATGAACTCTCCCTGGAGGTGATCAAGGCCATGTTGGGTACGGCCCTGGGCAGCCTGGTCTAGTATTAGATATGGAGGTTGGCTGCTCTGCCTGTGACAGGGGCGTTGGAGCTTGATGATCCTTGAGGTCCCTTCCAACTCAAGCCATTCTATGATTCTGTCAACTTAAGGGAGAAACAACTTCTCAAATTTTTGAGTGCTGAGTTGGGTCAGAGCAAAATTAACAGCCTTGTGTATCCCAGTCTCCAGTCTGACAGAGAAGCAGAAGCAAAAAAAAACACTGAATACCTGTCTTCAGTTATTTTAAGATCTTCTCTCACATGCTTGCCAATGTCTAGTAAATTACCTATGCCCACCCACTTTTCAAAGTCAACAAGCTGTGATGCTTGTTTAGAAGTGTCTGGGAGGTGCAGGGACCTCTATCAGAGGTCATACACATCTTTAGTATTATGTAGGTCCATCCAAAAGTAATGCCTCCTACTTATTTTAATGGAAATTGTAACAGCTACAAAGAGCACAGTAACACCGTTTAGTTGAGCAAATTCTCAGCTACAAAGCACTGTTTTTCAAAACAGTCCCCACCATTATTAACTAAGAATTTTTACCAGCAGAGAAGAAGAGCCTGCATGCTTCACTCAGCAAAATGTGCTCCAGCAGAGGTGACCCACTGTTGCCACTGCTGAAATGCGTACCACCCATTGCCTCACTGTGTTCACATCCCCTGTTCCATCCCTGTAAATGTTCAGGAAGTGCTGATGAGTGTCAATGGGTGCCATTTTTTCTTTGTGAGGGAGTTCAGTGACTGGCCTTTTCCTTTTCTTCACGCACACTTCCACGTGAGACACAGTGAATTTGCTCTACTAGTTCTTTTTTCCCCACTGTTATTATCAAAAGATTGTTGCTTGAAAGCCAAAATCATGTTTTGTCAGCTGTGTAGCATTCCTTAATCAAAAGTCACTCCTGAACATAAAGCATCATGAATATGTCTCAGCATCAGTGCTCTTTGTTCCTGTCCTCAACCAATTGTGTAGTAAGCAGAAAGCCATTTAATTGCTGTGTCTGCTTGTGTCTTGAGCTCTTCACCCTCCCACTTAAAAAATAAAATAAAATATATATAAATACCTTTGAGCTGTATGTTTAATGTTGAGTCTAGCTTCATTCTCCATCTGCACAGACACAAATGTTTGGGACTGTCTCCAGCAAACTGACTGTTCCAGGGATTATGACAACAAATGCCACAAAAATGCTTTGTGGGTGCTGTGACTGTGCATCGATGACTGTGAAATTCAGGAGAAGAGCTGGACAGGTAGCTGTGTGCAGAGTCCTACAGTTCTCAGTTCTTCTCCTGCTTGTATTTAGCAGACCAGGGGTAACCTGTGAGCTACAGCACACATCTAGAAGAAATTTACAAAACCATACTACCTTTAATGGGGTTTGAGTTGAAAGGTAGTTCTTACATGTTTACAGGCTTACAGTGTGCTGTTACAAAAACATTTAGCAACCACTATGGTAAAGGCTGTATTCAAATTATTGGAGCATTTTGTACAAATATTTACAGCATCTACAGTATCAAGAGGCTTCGTCTCTGATGTGCTTGATCCCAACAGCACCCCTTACCTTGCTACCTGTGGGAAAAAAAGGCATGAAATCATTGGTTGATACAGAGGGGCATTATTAAAAGAACCTGATTAATTTAGAAATCAAAAGTAACAATGTTGAAAATATAACTTTGACCAGGCAATTAGGGACAAAAAAAAAAAAAAAAGGAAACAATCTCAGGACTTTATCAGCTATTTCTATCAATGATGAATAACAAGATATACATCTTGTGAGACTATGTTTCCTGTGCTCCTTATAGTTCAGGGATTGACAGAAACTCCTCTGATTAGTGGAAATTAGTGATATTTTTCTGTATTTGAGGCTCTGTTGCAAAGTTGAAGCAAGCTGAAAATACATACCTTGGTGGTATGTGCACAAATGTGCGTGTATTAGTAAGTTCTTATTGGGGAAAAAAAAAAAAAAAAAGGATATTCTTGAGATTTTCCTTCTTTCTTCCTGAGATTTTCCTCTCTTTCTTCCTCACACATTGTTCTTTAAGAAGGGCAACTGTTTCCCCTCACTGTGATTTAAGTGTTTTTTTTTTGTTCTTGAAGCTGTTTTGCTGAAGTTCAGTTTATTTAGATGAAATGTCAGGAAAAACACCGATTCAGCTTAGGTGTATCAGCCAGATAAATTTGCTTTAAAACAGCTGGCGGGCTGAGGGGGAAAGGCAAGGATGTGCAGCACTGACTGTAAGTGGGGGATAACTTGCCTTAAAAGACAAGAGCCTGAATGCATGGAAAAATGATCTGATTGCTCTGTAATTTCTTTTCAGCACTGGCTGACAGAGCTGGAGATCTTCGCCATGATCTTTGCAGCTGCTATCCATGATTATGAACACACAGGAACCACCAACAATTTTCACATCCAAACACGGTGAGGCCATCATAAATCATGATGCGTGGTTGGGGAAGCTTTTAGAAAATAACAGCACAGCCACATAGAAAAGCGTAGAAGCTTTTGCCCTCGAGTGATGCAGGAGGAAAGTTCACTTCCCTTCACTGCATTTAATTTTCTCTTACTCAACCATTTTTAACTGTATGCCTGTATTATAGATTCCTGACCACTGTGTCATATTAATAATCAGGAAAAAGGGGAGGTCCCAAAATATCTCTGTGTGAAATTGCTGAAGACTAATTGTTATGCAGCTTGATGTATTTGGTCAAAGACATAGTTTTGAAGGAGGTGTTATAATTCAAAAGCTCACCAGTATCTGCATTTGTCAGTACACGCCAGCACGACATATAGTGTTCTTGCTGGAAAAACATACTGCTGAAAGGTGGGGATATGTTTGCACTGCCTGTTTGGAAGTAAGTCCTTGCACTCACATCTTAAATCTTTGTAAATTCCTGGAGAATTTACAATCAGCTGATCACAGACTATACTGGACTGGCATTATTGTTGATCTCAGAGTCTTCTGTAGGGCTTTTGAGATTGATGGAAGAGAGGTACAAAGAAGATGGCAAAATTTGAAAGCCTGCCAATATTGTGAAATGTCTAGCTGCAGTGATAATTAGGCATCTAATCTGTGTGTTATTTTGACAGTGTAAGTCTACTGGTAGCACTGACAAACTAAGTGTCTTTGACTGACATAGCATACTTGGACATTTCTAAGATGCGCTGCAACTTACCCTAAATTGGGCATCTGGATTGTGGCAGCTGAATCATGCTATGTGTTGCAGATATATCAAGGATGCTAGGATAGATCACACATATGCTCAAGAAGGTTTTGGAGCACTGGAGGAAATTTCTGTCTGTGTTCTAGGATAAGGCAGACTCCCCTTCTCACAGCTTCTTATATGCAAGAATTAGGGATCTGCTATATTTCCAAAGTAGAAAATAGCAATAGAAAAGTTCAGTTGTAATGCATGGTTTGTGACACTGAACAACAGAGGATCTAAAATGCTGAGGGAGAAAAATTTACACTGCTCACTGGGAAGCAGGACTGAGAGAGGACTACAATGAATCGTACTCAATCTCTCTTGCCATAAACTTCGAGTCTTCAGAACAGCTAAGCTATCCAGCAATTTTAGATCTTTAACATGGAGCCTAAAATAAGATGTGAAGTACCTTTGGTCTTATACTATCCCACTGGGATTTGCCCTTCTGTACAGCATAGCTAGGTGCACAGATAACTGAAAGCAGCTCAGTTATGTCTTGCTTATGGCCTATTTACTATTCTGGGAACAGTATGAGAACACATCTCATAATTTCATATTTGGCTACACTCAGGCTTCAATTTCAGAGCAATATACACAAGAACTGGAAAGGAGCCTTGTGATTCAGCCCTAAATTTACATTATATCTCTCAGTTAGAAAGCTCTTAGTATCCTTTTCTGATGTAACATAAGACTAGGTGAGTCTGAGCAGATGAAATAGATTTTGTGGTGAATTTTCATCTTTAGTTTTCTTTTAATGAGTAACAGCAATGAATAAAGTATCACAAGCACTCCCAAAACACTTATATCCGTGCTATAGGAACTAACCTCTGTAGCTGAGCAAAGAAAAGCTTTTGAATATGAGACACTTGAGATAAGGAAGAAACATAACCTTCCTTTGTTTCCTTTCTAATCCTAGGTCAGACTCAGCCATTCTGTATAATGACCGATCTGTGCTTGAAAATCACCATGTTAGTGCAGCATATCGTCTTTTACAAGATGATGAAGAGATGAATATTTTATCTAATCTCTCAAAAGATGACTGGAGGTAAGCATGAACATGGTAGCTGCTTCAGAATATTGCACTGCCACCGCAGACTGTTACTGCTTTGTTTGAATAGCAGTATGCATCAGTGTGTATTGTGCATTAGCATTTCTGCTGCTAAGAGAGAAACAAAAGAAAAAAAAGCTCTATAAAGTGTTGACTTGCATATTTCTGTATTTGGTTCTCACCTCAGATAGTAGTCAGACTAGGAATTTGTTGCAATGGATAATAATATACAGTTTGACTCCCATGTAATTTCAGCATCTCACGGAAACACCTTTTGTAGACATCTGTTTGTAAATGAGTGAAGAGGTAGGTTGCTGTTGCTGTTTGTTCATGCAAAATCATCAAGATATCCTTCATCTGTTTTGATGCTCCTTGCCTGGAAATTACATATGGGATGGAATGCAAATAAGAATCAAGTCCAAGGACCGTAAATCAGTGTACCATATAAGCCAAAGTGATATAAGAAGCTATAATTTAAATTAAGCTCTGCAACATAGGATTTATGTGCCAAAATCAGTCCGCAACTTGTTTTCTAATAGCAGACAATTCAAACTAATGAGGGCTTTTTTTTTTCTGTAGTGGATTTTGAACTCCAAGAAGTAGTACCTTAAACGTAGCCCTGTCTGCCAGACAGAAAGAAACCCTGGTCCACAGTCTTTCTCATAGGACTTGTAGGATCGTATATGCAGCACAGTGCTTCCCCCATGCACCTAAATTTGCTACAGTAATGAGCTGTCAGTTGATCTTACAGGAAATTAGCTTTGCTCTGAGGATTGGCTTCTAGTATGCTGGCCAATGACTATGCTTCGTAATGTCTTTCACCTGCATTTCCTGTTTGTTTGACTTGTGGACAGTGATGTAATCCTGTAGCTGAACAGTGGAAGTACAATTTAGGAACTTAAACAGCTGGTTTCAATCAGTGTGAGTGTTGTGGAGCAGCAGCTTGAGAAATCCTGCCTGCCCATATAGTCTTAGCATGGACAAGAAATATGAACTGCATTGAGATGTTAAAAATCTATTTATCTATTTGTTTATTTATTTTAGCTACGATTGGTAATGCCTTGTACAGTATTGGCAGCAAATTGCTGCTTGCCTTTGTGTTGGCAGGGGAAACACAAACTATCTGATTAGAAGGGGCAGCCCTAGAGCCACTGTTCATAAGGATCAGTGGAGCAGCTGCTTGAGAATGCTTCACTGCAGGAATGCTGTCTTCAGGAAAGCAGTCTGCTTTGAGGCTTTAAGCTGTTTGTGGTTGGATGAAAACTAAGTTCAGATGTTTCTTGTTAATTCCCTTGTGTCAAAATGTGTGTTCTGTTGAGGTATATGTTTAGACTGAAGGTTTCAAAGATTATCACTTCTCCTTTTTATGAATTATTGTATCTGCCTGAATAAAAATACTGAGCTGTTTAGATTGCTTAGTTTTCCTGTCTAAGTAGGGCTGTATTATTTTGTAACTGCTGATCCAGCAGCAGCTGCAGGATAAAAATCATTATTTTAATGTGCTGTAATGCCAAAATGCGATTCTCATGTGTCTTTGCTTTTGACTACTGGCTTGAAATCCCATAGGCAAACATTTGGAAGGCACTGGAAGCATCAGCTAACTTCATAAGGATCTCAGATGCTGAGAAAAAAAACAAACACACAGTTTCTCAGACTGGTACTCAGAAATAGGACTTTCAGTATCAGTAGGACTGAAAGCATTGAAAGTACGCTTTGGAGAACTGTTAAAACATGTCCAGATCTAATATTATTTTCGTAGTCGTACTTCACTAATCTCTTTCAGCAAAAAGTCCAAATGCTAGCTCCTGGAAATCAAATTCTTAAGTGCAGTTTTGACCTGAGCTCTCATTTAATTTTGACATTATTAATAAGAGAAGACCTGATGATCAGTTCATCACACAATCCTACATGTATGGAGAAGGTTGAGGGAACTGGGCTTGTTCAGCTTGGAGAAGAGAAGGCTCTGAGGAGACCTCCTTGTGGCCTTCCAGTGCTTGAAGGGAGCAGATAAACAGGAGGGGGAACGGCTGTTTGTGAGGGTGGGTGGTGATGGGACAAGGGGAATGGTTGTAAACTGAGACAAGGGAGGTTTAGGTTGGATATGAGGAGGAAGTTTTTCACCCAGAGGGCGGTGAGGCACTGGCACAGGTTGCCCAAGGAGGCTGTGGATGCCCCATCCCTGGAGGCATTCAAGGCCAGGCTGGATGTGGCTCTGGGCAGCCTGGGCTGCTGGTTGGTGACCTGCACACAGCAGGGGGTTGGAACTGGGTGAGCATTGTGGTCCTTTGCAACCCAGGCCATTCTATGATTCTGTGATATATATGTGGATTTCATCAGTTTTGTGTTATTTGGTCATCTAGTTCAGGACTGTATTCACTGGAAAGAAATGCAGGAGATTAGAGCTAGCAGTCACAGCTACAACAGAAATGGGTATAGGTTTTTTAGGAGAAGCTGATGAGACTGAAAGAGATTTTTTTTGGCTATAGTCAAGAAGAAAGATGAATGCTTACTAGGACTTAAACAGTGTTTTGCTCTCCTTGTTAAATATTTGAAAGTGAGTTGCCCCGTTTGATGAATCCCATTTGTGCAAGTCATTAGCAAGTAAATGAAGAAACTGTATGAAAAACAGATCACAATGATTTAAGAAAGCAAACTGCGAAGTGAACAGATGCTTTCCAAGATATGACTAAAGACGTATTTTCTGGCTCTGTAGTTCTTTGCTAATAATTTCCATGTTGTTTATTGAAGTAGAGTATACTTAGTGCAAGCCCTTTACTGTCAAGTACCGGATTAAAAATGCATCTGGAAAATGTTTAACTCTGAAACTGAATCAGAGTGCAGCTTCAGGAAGTGACCTTTCATGCAAAACTGATTGTGTCAGTAAAGCTGCTTGGGCTTTTGTTCCTCAGATAATTTTGAGTCCTCTTTGTCAATCAGTGTTATTCCTTCAGAGTCTGTAGAGTCTTTAGAGCAGTGAGAAACCTGGAATGGTTCTAAATGAAGACAACTTTAGTCAGTCTTCTTTTGTATGTAACAGCAGATACATGGCTGCATAATCACAAACTTTTCTTGTAAAATTTTTTTCCTCTGTATCCAGGATGGATGCATGCTTATTCTGAATGTTACACCTTTAGTGTGTGTCAGCCATTGAAAATGCTTCCTTGAAGGTAGCATTTTTCCTTCTTCTATTAATTTTCACAGGAGTGAAGGCTTGTACTATGTAAACTGGGTGAAATATCTCACTACAGGATATCTCACCTATTTCTTAGCATAGGGATTAGGTGATGTAAAGCAGTCATTTTCCTGTCCTTTTCCCTCGTATGTATGGAGATGGGAGCCTTTTGCTAGAATGTGGCTCTGAGGTGAACACTAATATGGAGCAAAGAAGCATCCAGCAAAATGTCCAATAAAATGACATCATGTTCTCTGAGCAAAAAAAGGTAAAGGCATGCAATAGTTATTCTTAAGAGCAAATACGGATGTTTGCCAAATGGAGATCAGTGCAAGACTTGGAAGTACTTAGGTGTAAAGTCATCCAAAGTCTTGCCTAGCTCAGCAGTCGTTAGTACAGAGACTATGCAACTGTGCTTGATGACAGAACTGTGCCAGACACCATGTTTTCATGGGCATCACCTGCAGGACATTTGTGTAGCAGTAATGAAATACGAAATTCACCCCAGGTTTTCCTCTTCTCCAAATTGCTTTTCCTGGTACCACTCTCTCCACCTAATTGTAGCTTTCCCTAATTCTGCAGGGGCTGGTAAAAGACATGGAAAAGTTATCTTAGAATTTATCATCAAATGTGATAACTTTGTACTTTTTTCTTAGGGTTAGGTTATAGATGTGAGAATATTGTGTCTCCATGGCTCCTGGCTTCTGGCCTTGGGGAAACGTATATCTGCCATGAGATAAAGCATCTGAAAATGTAATGAGGACTATTAAAATCCCCAATTAGTCAGACAAGCAGCACAGCCAGATCTGTAAAACAGACTTTGTGTCCACAAGGGATCTTCAGTTGAGGGGATAGGCAAGAAAACGCATTCCCAGGTCCTTAATATTCTAATAGTGACCACTTTCACATGGTTGTAGTTTTGTTACCGCAAGCTTTTGAGCCTTGTATCAAGATTAACCGTTTAGACCACTTGATTTTATTGCATATTGCACTGATCCATCGGGCTGCTTGCAAAAGCACCATTCAAAATATTTTCAAATTTCTCTGGAGCACAGAAGTTTCTAACAACGTTGTGGAAAAGTACAGACTTAATAGATGTGTGTGTTCATCAGGCATCTGTTGGTTTTCCCATTAAATTATTACTTTGTTGTTGTACTCTTGGCTGCATTATGTTAAACTTGCATTTCAGCCCACTTTTTCTGTCATCCACACCGGCTTTTGCTCTGTCTCTGGCTTGGAGTACATCGACTTGCTCTCCAGTTCTTGGGATTCCAGTCCTTGTTCCACAAATGTTTTAAGCTGCCATTTGCCAGCACTGTTGCTAAAAGAAGCAGTTTCTCCTCTCCTTTGTATTAACAGAGAGGTTTTTGTTGCTGGGAATGTATCAGACGAGGGAACTGACCAGGACTAAGCTTGTTTCCAACCACCCTATAATTTCTTTGAATGCTGTTGCAAGTGCTTGCACTTGAGGGTGAGGAGAGGAAGGTAGGTTTGCTTGTGGAGAGTGAGGACAACTGATTCAGTTTTAATGTGTGTGCAGAACTCTTGAGGGGGCATGTTATGTGACACCCATGGGACTGAGTAGGCACCAAGGTCTTGGGTCTCTAAGCAGTGGGTGGCCTGGGGCTAGAACTTGAGTACAGCCACTAGAGGCAGGAGAGACGTACCCAAAATAGACTGTCTCCTTCATGAAGGATACATGAAAAGAATGGTAACTTTTATTTTTAAATGAAAACGGATCCATTTCTGAATATCCCAAATCCGTAGCTGGTAAGCTAACCTTGGGCAATTCTATTAAGCCACGAGCAGCAGAATTGAAGAAAGAAAAAAAATTCTATATTGTATGCTAGATCAGAGAGTTCTGATATTTTAAAATTTCTAGGACATCCACACTATCTTCAAAGGAATTCCTAAGATCCTGAAAAGTTTGTTTAACAAAAATTTGTGCAGGAATAGTTTGAATGAGCAGTGTCAGGGAAGTAGTGCAGGTTCTCAGAACTCTTGAATGTATATATATATATGAAATATTTACTAGGAGATGCTTTTTAACATGCTGTTTTTCAACATGTTATTTTTTCTTTTAATAATAGAGCTAAGCTTTCAGTAAAGGTTTTGACCAGTTTTAGTTAACTGGATAGAAATACAAGTTCAAAAATTCACCTGATTCATGCAGTATCTTTAAACAGTCTGTTTGCTTTATTCCAAGAATGCTTTATAAAGAAATAAATTCAAAAGATTTATTCTTAAGTGAGAAAGGAAGTGTACTGATACTGATACTTTTCACAAATGAAACTTCATTTGCAGCCCTGCCACTGTTGTGTTTGTAGAAAATCATTCATCTTTCTCCCTCAACCTGAAAGAGTGACATAAGAAATCAGGAATGCTGTTAGTGAATTTGCAGATAACAACAGAAGGTGGAGTGTGTCTGAAGCTGGTTTTTGTGTTTCTTTTTCCTTGCTTCTCTCATCATGATGCCATTCAAAAGGGAGTTCAGGGCTCTGGTGATTGAGATGGTGTTAGCCACCGATATGTCCTGTCACTTCCAGCAAATCAAAGCCATGAAGAATGCTTTGCAGCAGCCAGAAGGGTGAGTCACTTCACAGCACTGTGCACTGAGGGGCTTCATTTCAGCTTGTGCTTTGCCATTATGTTTAACTTCAAAAGCACCTCTCCAGAGGCCCTCACTCTACTTGATGTGCACCTCACTTCTGCTTCTGCTGTTGAATTTTGAATGAATTCACTTAGGAGTGGACAAGCACTACCTACACACAAATCTCTGTTCTGTGTTGGTGGACCAAAGCTTGCAAAGGTCACTGTGTTGGGGTAAGCTTCCCTAGTCATTTTCCTTTGTATATGAGGGTAACATCAAGGACATGATCCAATGAACAAACTCTACCAACTGAGTAGGACTCTGGGATCTACAAAACACAATCAGTGCGTTGTCTTTCTGCAGATGGTACCAGCAGCCACCATAGCAAGGGGCCTGCTCCATAACAAGGGGAAAGACGAAAACAATCTGAGGTGCATCAAAGGAAAGACTGGAAAAGAACAGATGGAGCATTATGGGGAAGGCCTTTTTTTTCACAGTATACCAGTAGGAGTTGTAGTATTTTGTCCACAGCCTTCTCCATAAAGTTCTTGTTATGCTATTCTTAGTGATGGTCCTCTCTTTTTTTCACTCCAGACACAGATCTGTCCAGCACCCTCTAGAATTATATCTGTATCAGATCAGAGCGTGGCTCACCACTTGGTCCTCTCTGAAGCTACAGCTCTTCCAACTATTTTGGGCAGTCAAAAGCTGCAATTAAAAACTGAAATTACTCATCCCAAGCAAACATTATTTACTGAGTTATTGGGCTAGGCTTTCAGGTTATAGTCTTAAGAAATTGCCAGCTTCGCTCCAGTTTCCTAACAGTGAAGCATACTTACTGTGCAAAGTCGTCACTGTCCCTGAGAGCAGATCCTGTTTACTGCAGTAAGATGAACTCTTTTCTGACCTGCATAAAATGCAGCACAGATGAAATAGGGAGCATAGTGGCTCTTCAGTCTGATTGTGCAAAGAAGTGAGCCTGGAAAGGAGCTCAACAAAGCTGAGCAGAGTTTCTCTTTATACTTCTTAATGTCTTTGTTACAATAGGAGTGGTGTATGTTGGAGAAATTAGTCAACCTTTCATGGTTGTCAGGTTTTATGAACGTGGAAATACTCCATTAATATCCTGACCAAAGACTCTGATGGCCTTATTTCCCTTTTTAATTGAAATTTTTGTTGTTCTCCACTGCAAGTGCAGGCAATTAACTTGTTTGATCCTTTGGATTTTCAGAATTGACAAGCCGAAAGCCTTATCACTGTTGTTGCATACAGCAGATATCAGTCATCCAGCCAAGGCCTGGGACCTCCACCACCGCTGGACCATGTCTCTGCTAGAGGAGTTCTTCAGACAGGTAAAGATGGAGAATTGCTCTGTGTTTTGGCAGCACAGAGGATCGGGCAAGTAAGAAAGTGTGAACGTGTATTTTCTTTCTTCTATGATTTTCTCAAGAACAGCCTAAATGATAGGAAGCTGTTTTGTCTGGTACAGTAGCACTGCCTATCAAGTCTCTTGGAAAGGCAGTGTCTGCTACACTGCCTATAGATAGAAATATTACCTGCATAGGAGAAGTTCTAATGTGGCTTGCTAAGCCAGGCTAACTACTTTTATGGAATCAGTATTTCTTTCTAACTTGAAAAAGATAGAACATATGATGTTCTGCTTAGCTAATAAACCATAGAAAACGCATTTAGGTAGTTACATGTTATAAAGCTGTATTTATATTTTTGGAGTAGACATAAAGAAGTCCATTATCCTTACCAATTTTTAACCAGTTTTTGAAGGACATCTGCCTTAAAGGCATTATGGGAATCCCTTCTTAATAAGGACCTTGCAAAAATTTGCTTTGAAATGAATCCTTAAGTTTGTTTTTCAAAGCAAGAATGGGTTTACTGAGTGGAAGCAGGAAAATCGTGCCTGCATCCATCTCTGTGTTACCACACAGAAGGCTCATGTAAGGAGGGTGATTTTCACATGCATTTTAGGGAAGACTCTGTCACTGGGCATGTGTATTCTCTTATAGCTCAAAAAGATACTAGATCTGATAAAATATACCATTGCTGAGTACCCTAAAAGATTGATGAGGGAGTTAAGATTAGCTGGCTGTAAGAACACAAAAAGGCCAGGTTTGGATCTGCTTTACATGTGCAATGAGGCAAAATCATTTTACGTTTTCACAAGGACAGCTGAACAACAAATCATGCTTCAATTCTGAATGACAAATGCCTCCATGTCTAGATAAAGCATTGCATAAAACTTGTATTCTAGTTCTAAATTACGATGAAGTATTAACTCCCTTTTTTCATTCAACTTTCATTCAAGTTAGTAGATGGGTAAATACATACATCCCTACATGGTAGCAGAAGAGCAACATGCACTCTTCTCTGTGTTTGAGCTGAAAAGTGCCACTAGCCAGAGGGAACTAAGAAAGTAGGCTGGTTTCAGTTTAGGTATTTATTTCTTTATGCTCTTCAAGTGCAGATTCTCTTCCACATTTTTTGTTGTGTGTTCTGAGGCATTTAACCTGAATCAGTATGGGTTTCTAAAGCTCTTGGTTTCCAGTTCTCCAGTCATGTGACCCAGGTCTTCCTGCATGAACTATGCGTGTTTGTAGATGTTAATGCTGCTTTTGAATACAATTTTATTGACTGATATTCAGCAGCTGGAATAAAGATCTCATAAAGGAAATATCTTGCATGTTTTACCTAGCAATTTAGCCATCCATGAAGGATCTGCCTGAACAGCTTCAAAATCATGTATGTCTTTGAGCAGTCAGGAAGGCTGTTAGGGGCTCTGGGGTTTGTAAGAGGCACGAGGAGTAAGAGAAAAGTGATGATTAGATAAGAGCTGGTACTGAAAAATGCTTTTCCTGAGAGGTGTGGCAGACATGATAACAGGTTACTTCAAAATATTTCTGTGTTTGGTTCCTGGCTTACCCTGAAATTTGTACATCAGACTCCTAACATAAAGCAGGAGAAAATTGTTGTTTCACCCCAAGCTCTAACCTCTGGCAGAATTTATTCCTTCTGTTTATGTACGTTATAATAATAACAAAGAAAAAACCTATTCAGTGCTTTTTATGCCTACAGTTTTTCCCTAATTTGTTTGCTGGCTATTTTGACTTCCATTTGACATTAGTCAGAATAATGGCATGAAGTTCAGCACAGTTAAAGTGAGTTGCTGATTTAAGGAATTGGTTCTCTGGTACATTTAATAGGCTGTTTAAGTTTGAATGCTCACTGGGGATTACTGCAGCTGTCATCCTATGTATCCTATCAGCCTCAAGCAATTTGTAATAGTGTGACTGAAGCAAGCTTGGTGTGAATATGCAGCTTAAATGACTGGAAGAAATGGGTTTGTAACACTTGATCTTCCACACTGTCTTGTGATGTTAAGAAAGGAATGACAGTTCTGAGGGCTGGAAGCACGTTTGTACCTTTGTTCTTTAGCTCTTACATGAAATGTTAACAATATCAGTGTTTCCTTTGGACAAAAAATGTGATCTGTATCTGGCCAGCCATGACCTGTGAATTCCTTATCTGAAAGACAAAAGGAAAAAAAGCCTCAGCAAGTGCAAATCCTGAAGGATCAACCACGATACTGAGGACTGAGGACGGTGTTCTGCTGAGTTTTCCAGAGAGCTCCAAAGAGAATCATTCTTAAGTACAAAAGGGTGCTTATGTAGTGCTTGGAAGTACCAAGCAGACAGGGAAAGCTATGAGGAAGGATTCGCTGGAATCAAAATGCTCGATTCCCACTGTTCTCCTTGGACCACGACTTTTCCAGCCAGACTCAGTTCTCCATAAATAATCTGCGTTTACAAAAATGTGCATGTACAAAACCTACTTCACAAAAGAAAGTAAAATGGGTTGCTTTTACAGCAGTGACCTAAGATATCAAAGTTCAATGCCTTGTTCTAATTTATTCTCTTTTTTTTTTTCTCCAGGGTGACAAAGAAGCAGAGCTAGGGCTTCCCTTCTCTCCGTTGTGTGACCGCAAGTCCACTATGGTTGCTCAGTCTCAAATAGGTATGTCCCTTTTGGTGCATTGTAAGTAGCATCTTAAAAACAAAACTTAGAATCACAGAATCATAGATTCACCAAGGTTGGAAAAGATCTCTAAGATCATCCAGTTCAACCATCCACCTGTTACCAATATTTCCCACTAAATGTCCTTTCATACAACATCTAAACATTCCTTGAACACCTCCAGGGATGATGACTCCACCACCTCATAGTCAGCCATTCCAGAGCCTGTCCACTGTTTCAGAGAAGAAGTTTTTCCTCCAACCTGAATCTCTCTTGGTGCAACTTGAGGCCACAAAACTTATTTCTCCCTGTGCATGGAGGTTACAGTGATCTCTCACTATTTGAAGCTAGGTTATAGAGAAGAAGTAATAAAGTGCAGTGGTATTTTCTCCAGATCAACAATTCAAAGCTGAGGAGCCATTAAGTGGTGGTCTTTCCTTGCAGTAGAGTTACTTCTAATGTATGTGACTGCAGAACTGACTGCAGTGCCCAGTTATGACATTATTCTGTGGTTTTCTGAGCACTGGATATGAGGTGCGCATGGCATTGTGCTGTGAGTTTTCTTAGAGGTTATAGAAACATAATGTCAGTCCTTTTGATGACCGGGGCAAAAACTGTTGTATTTTTCATTTGTTTGTTTCTTTGTTTGTTTTTTCACTTATTTTCCCCACCCTTTCCCTCTCACTGCTCAAAGCCAATCAATATTTTGTACGGAAACCATTTTCAATTCCATTCATTCAGAAGCAGAGATCTTTTTACAGACTCACTAATAGTGCTTTCTTTCTCTCTTGCAAAATCACGGGGTTGCAGAATGTCTGAAGTGGGAAGGAGCCATCTAGGTCCAACCTCTGCTCACGCACGAACATCAGAAGCAGGTTTCTCAGCACCGCATCTAGGTGATTTTCGAGGAGGGACTTCAAAACCTTCCAGGCATCCTATTCCAGTGCTCCATCACCTGCACAGTTAAAAAGTGCTTTCTGATGTTTTGATCTAACCTTTTGTTTTCCAGTGTGTGCCTCTTGTCCTGGCACTGGGCACCACTGAAATGAGCCTGGTTCCGTCCTCTTTGCACTCTCCCTTCAGATGTTCATAGGCTTTTTTAAGATCTCTCCTGAGTCTTCTCCAGACTGAGTAGTCCCAGCTCATAGCAGTGGTACTCCCATCCCTTGACCGTCTTGGTGACCCTGTGTTGGACTCTTTTCCTGTATATCCCCATTTCTCTTGTTATGGGAGGCCCAGAACTGGGCATGATATCAAGGGCACATTGCTAACTCATGTTCAACTTGGGATCATCAGGACCTCTCAGTCCTTCTCTACAGATCTGCTTCTCAACTGAGTGCCTGGAATTGTTCATCCTCCACAGGAAAGATGTGGAGCTTTTGGAGAAAGTCCAGAGGAGGGCCATGAGGAAGACCAGAGGACTGAAACACCTCTCTTATGCAGAAAAATTGAGAGAACTTGTTTTGTTCAGTCTGGAGCAGAAAAGACTCCAGGAAGACCTCATTGTGTCCTTCCAGTGTATAAAGGGAGATTATAAACAGGAGGGAAATTGTTTACATGTATAAATAGTGATAGGACAAAGGGGAATGGTGTTCAACTAAAGGAGAGAAGATTTAGATCAGATGTCAGGGGTAGGTTTTTGCTCTCAATGAAAACATTGGTGAGGTGCTGGAACATGCTTCCCAGAAAGGTTGTGGATGCCCGTCACTGGAGGCATTCAAGACCAGGCAACCTGATTTATTACTTGATCTAGCAGTTGGAAATTCTGCCTGTGGCAGAGGGGATGGAGCTAGATGATCATTGAGGACCCTTTCAATTCAAGTCATTCTATGATTCTGCTAGATAGGAGGTGCAGGACTTCATGAGATTCTTGCCAGCTCACCTCTTCAGCATGTCACGATTCCTCTGATGAGTCAGCCATTCCCTCCAGTTTTGTTTCATCTGTGAATTTACTGAGAGTGCACTCTACCCAAATGTCTCCTCCAATTAGTGAAAGAAAAGGAGGATGGGGAAACAGTAAGCCTGATAGCTGGGGAGAAGTCAAGAGGAGTTAACAGAAGTAGGCATGTTCTGCTGGCTAGAAGCAAAAAAAGAGACAACTTGAGAAGAAAAGGTGGATTTATGGGTAGATATTTATGCCCACAAAGCTAGTGAAAAATGTTATCTATCCATGACTGGAGAACAGAATGCCAAATGGAAGAAGAAAAGACAGATAATGCTGACTCCCAGCATAAGGGAACTGAGTCCAGAAGCAGAAAGAAAACAAATGTATTCAAGGAAAGCAATCAAGAGAAGAATTTGAAGTACGAAATTTCTCAGCTGTCTCCTGAGCTGGCCAAAGAACAAAACAAATATATCCCCAAGCTTAGGAAAGTACAGGTTCACATCTGTGGCTCAGAGCTGTTTCTTGTTTAAAATTATTTCATTGTTCTCGTTAGGCAGCCACTCCCTTAGTGGACTTCATTCAGATTTTTCTGGCTCTGCAAGCTTAGGCAGTTCATGCAACAATCTGAACTTGAAAAGCCCTGTACAAACCCAAACTGGATGCCACATTTCTAGAGTGTAGCCCTCTGAAACAGTACCCCAGAAAGGTGTGTATGTGTGTACAGCACAACACAAGCCCTGAGAAGACTTATATTTTGCCAGTGGCTCAGTGGAGGGAAGCAACAGCAAACTTAAAGAGCTTCAGTATGAGCTAAAACCCATGCTGAAGATTCCTGTGCAGACTATGCCTGCTGCTATGGGAGATGATGACCTCTCTGTGGTTGGTGTGGAGGAGAAGACACATTTGGAGTTATCTTTCACAGTGGTTCTAGCAGCATTAAAATATGTCCCTCACACCTTACCAGGAAGAGGAGCTGTGCTTCCTGCGTATCCCCTTCTGAGCTCTGGTAAGCTCAGTGTGCTTAGAAACCAATTTGCCTTGTCCTCTGCTTCCATGCTTTTTGACTCAGAAGGCCAGGAGAGCCAAGAAACTTCTATACTATGGATGTATCTTGTCAAGCCGCTGCAAAATTAATGATGAATTAAACTGTCAACAGGATAATTACACTTTATAAAAGCAGCACTCCGTCAGCGTGTAAAGGCAGCCTTATTTAGTTGAATGCTATTTGTCACTGTATTCTTTTGTGTGGTTTTGTGATCCATTGACACCAATAGGCCATTGTCCATAATCCTTGGCTTCTGACATAAAGTTTTCATTTCTCTGTCTGCTGTGTATATTGGCATAATCTGTCTGTAACACCTTTGTTAGATCAGAATGTCTTACATGTTCTGCCTCTCTGCTGAGGCAAGGCTTTCTCAGTTGTAAGGTAGATTCTCAGGGAAATAATCTGATCCTATTCATGTATTTATTTGATCAACAGTCCCAACAGGCTGTTCACTGGGTTAGTAATGACTGCATTTCTTTGCAGGAGCAAGTTCCTTTTGAATTCCTAATCATGCAGTGAGCAGCCGTGAGTTTCTACAAATGAAACAAATAAACAAACAAACAAAACCATCTATACTTAAATAAAATTGTGCTACTGATATTGCCAGGGACACAGCATAGAAATCCTGTTCTGGTGGCATGGCTTGTTTGTAGTTGCTGGTTTGCCACTGAAAGTTGACTGCAGATGCCACAAACAGCGGGCAGGCATTTTTATTAACTAAGGGCTTTCATAAATGCAGACAGAAGGCTTTCCAGCATGCACTCTTTCCATAAAAATGAAGCAAAAATTTCCTCAAAATAAAGAATGTCTCCTTCTCTTGTTTCTTTAATTTATGGATCAATTTTTCAGTATTAAAACTAATACATTTTTTAAAACAAATATCAAAGAACTTTAGTTTTAAAATCTACTAATGCTAGTGATCAGTTTATCATCCTTTTTCTTCCTCAATAAAAATACTTTTGGTAAATATGTCTGTACCCTACTGAGGTATAGAAATCATGAGAGATTCATGTGCAGGTCAGGCTGCTAACTGGAGTGGGGAAGGCAAACAGATTTCAAAGAAAACCAGGCCAAAATTTGTGCTTCCTGACATGAATATCAGGAGTTAAAGCTTCTCAATCTTTCTCAGACTGTAGAAAGCTTGTCTGATGAGAGATGAAACTCACTTGCAACTGAGAAATGTAAGAACATCTTTTTATTTTTGTCCAGTAGCTGGCAAGAAAGAAAATTACAGCTTCAGAAAACATTGTATGAAGGCTGAGAAGGTTATGTTTCTGGTTTGTTGGTTTCTTTGCTTGTATTGTGGTGGGCTTTAGGGAAACAATTCTCCTGCCAGTGTTTGTTGTGGTGTTCTCAGGTGGAATGAATGAATTGCCTGTTATCAACTCCTCAGTATGCAATGGCAATTGATAAAAACATCCTAGTCACTGGGGTACAGAAATATTTACTTCACTCAGTCTTTTGAAAAAGAAAGATGATGGTGAATTAGTCTTAGGCTACACCATTAATAAGTTTTAAATCCGGATTAATTATTTTGAATATAAATCACAGTGTCTTTAGGTAAGAAAAAAGAGAATACTGAAGAGTGGTTTGGGATTATAGTATAAATTACATAATTGCTATTCAGATTGCTCTGGAAGTAATGCCTCCTCTTTATTTCCATGGAAACCAAAACAGATACAAAGAGCACGATAACCCTATTTGATGGAGTGCATTCTCAGCAACAAAACACTGTTTCTCAACACTGTCACTACCATGAGGTATGCATTTGCAGCAGTGATGAGCTGCTGAAAGAGCCATCATGCTGCATTCACAAAAATCTGTACCAGCAGAGGTGATCCACTGTCACTGTTGCCGCTGTGGAAACGCATCACCCACTGCCTCATTGTGGTGACATCCACTGTTTGGTTTCCATAAATGTTCAGTAAGTGTTGATGAATGTCAGTGTGTCATTTTTTTCCATGTGGAAGAAGTCAGTGACACAGCTTTCATTCTTGCACACTTTCATCTCAGGCGCCATCTGCTGCCATCTGTCACAAGGCAACAGGCTTTAGCAGAATACTGATTGGAAGGTTCACTCCCTTCTGCCATATCACCAACATCTGCCTTTGCTGTTGTGGGCCAATGTAATAAAATAAGAGGCATTACTTTCAGATCAGCCCTCATAATGAAGTCCAGTGATTTGCATCGATGACTTGGATTTGTTTGGTCACTAAGAAGTAAAAAAAATATTGAAGGAGATTAGAAGAGTCATAGAGACAGGCAGACACACGTAAATCAAATTCTCGGTATCCTCTGGGTTCCTGTGACACACTGTTCTCAGTCAGTAAAATTTGCAGTGTTTTTAAAAGTAATGTGAAGTTTCCAAAGGTTAACGGCACTCAGTTTCCTGCTGTGGCTTTATACTGCATGCATTTTTGTTTAACAACATGAAAGGAAAGGTGATATTTTCCCTTAAGTTTGCATAAGAATATATCAAAGTTATGGAAGCACATGGTTCGGATGCTCATGTAAGACTGAAGGTTCAGTAATGCATGATTTTTTCTTTAATTTACAAAGTATTAGTATGAAATTCTGAGAACTTGGAAGTGATGTTTTTAATTATGCTAAGTATGAAAATATGATTCATTGTCTGACATTTTAGAAGTATAGAAAAAAATCAAGCAAATCAGGCAAGTGAAATGGAACTAGAAGTATGCTCAACTACCTTGCACTTTTAGAATGAGTTTGTCTGAGATCGCTGATGCAGTGACTTCACATTAATCATTATTTCACCTTCTTGACTGTGCTTGCGTTTCTGCTCAGGTTTCATTGATTTCATCGTGGAACCCACTTTTACTGTGCTGACTGATATGACTGAGAAGATTGTGACACCGCTCATAGATGAAGCTTCCCGTTCTGGCATGTCTGGGTTCAGACGTTCCAGGTGAACAACCAGATGTCCTCTCCCTTTAGAGCACGTGTTGCTTTTGCATCCAAGTCCCCTGGTGAATGTCATGGTCTGTGTCCACATCCATCCCTCCACAGTGTATGTCTGCCACGTGTTGTAAAGCTTGCTGTCCACATTGCCAGCACAACAGCTCACCTTGTGATGTGACTGTTTTGAAGGGAAACTCAAGCCAAGGTAGGGCAAAGAGGGAGGCTGGCCATCTTGGAAATGGAGCCAAGCCTCTAGAGGCACTGAATGCAAGTGGGTGTAGCCATGTAGTGCTCTCTCATTCACTAATGCCAAAACAGGAGGTAGGTAGTGTCATTGAGAAGCACTCATTTCTAGGAATATGGAAGTATAAACACGTAATTAAAGAGGATTGGGAAGTATAGGAAGACTTTATTTTATTATATTATATATTTATATTTATTATTATAGTATAGGAAGACTTTATTTTATTTTTATAGTTATTCAAATGTGTGAATTATCACCAGAGTTCACCTGCAGCTTGGATATAAGGAGTCTTGGCCCATTCATCCCCTTCTGCAGTTGTGGAGAATCTGCTACTTCGGTAATTTCATGAACAAGGCATGTCTTAGGATTCAGGTGGCACATGGTTTGTACTGCTTAGAGTGAAGCCTCGAAATCAGGATTTTTTCCCCAAGCAAATTCTTTATTCTTGGACTGTTACATTCAGGGCAACCACTGATATCTTTCTGTATCAGTTATCTTGCTGTCTTTATTAAAATATGCACTATGACATGCCTCTCCTTGAAAGAGAACTGCTAGGTCTGTAACTGAAATGAGTGCCTATTTCAACTTTAATGACTTCATCAAACCCTGGATGGATGCTGGTATACAGCAGTTCTGTGTCTAATGACTCCAACAGGTGAATTTGAGGAGACTCCTCCTTTGACATACTGGATTTCTAGGTTTGTCTGACTCTCCATTTGATGTTTAGGGAGCGGAGATGCACAGCAAAGAACCACTTTGTGTGGTTCTCTTTGTAAGGAATCACGTCTATCAACCATCAGGAAGAGGAGAGTCCATTATTTCTAATGCTGGCTCAGATTGTGCTGCTTGCTTTAACATTGATTGCCGTGGGGCTAAAGGGAGGGAGGGAATTGTGGAGGATTCAAGGTTATCTTTCTTCTTCTTTGGGTGTTATCTAGATTTAGAGTAATAATTTCTTAGCTGTGTTAGGTGCACTGATTTCTGTTACGTTTTGTGATCTTGTGTCCCAGTCTGAATAGCATTAGTCCCTCTGAAGTTAAGAGATCAAGTGTCAAGAGCACTGGGTCAGAAGGAAGTGCCTCACTGAACTGCTCCATACTCACTGTGGACTTCAAATGTTTTAAAGCCACCTGGACTGAGGTGGTGCAGCAGAACCGGGAGAAATGGAAAGCACAAGCCACCAAAGGTAACATCCAGACTTCTTAGTGAAAGAATAAAAATTCTTTTGACCTCTTCTACTTCAAACTCATCTTCAATCAAATTATTCTCCAAGTAAGAATCACAGAATCACAGAATTGTAGGGGTTGGAAGGGACCTCCTGAGATCATCGAGTCCAATCCCCCCTGCCAAAGCACTGCTAGTTTGAAAGAACCTGCTTCTCTAGGTCAACAGCTTACACTGAATTCAGAAAGATAGGAATATTATGACTCATCTGTACCTTACATGCTTCTGTGTGATGTAAGCGTAGGTAACAGAGAGGATTTGGACAACAGGAGGACAAAAAGGAATTCTAAGGGAAGCCCCCAAAGGTCATGAGTCAGACTCAGAGCGTGTGCAAAAACAGCAGGAAAAGGATTTTGGGAGATGTGTTATCAATTGTTTACTGTTAAGATTGAAAGAGATAGGAATGATATGTCAGCTGAAAAGGCCATGGTATTCTGGATCCATGTCTGGCTTCATATTTGCAGTGATACCTTGGATGAGAATATAGGAAGTTTGCTGCTTCTGCTCATGATATCACAAATCTGTGCAGGACTGCAGAATATAAAGTCTGCATTGATTGTGAGCTTGGAAGCAGACCAGGCATCCAAAATGTCATACAACTGAAAGTGCCTTAGAGTCATTTAGATGTGTTTGGAGAAAACAAAGTCAGAATTTGATTACATTTATTTCTTCATGAAACTGTGATACAGTGTCTCCTTTGAGCTGAATGCTCGTTACTAAACCCATTATTTAATGGAGCTGTTGTATTTCATATAAATGGAAGGAGTTTGATTGTAATACATTATGCAGTTTGGGCTTTATGACCAATGGAACACTTGGCTTAGTTCTCTATTTGCCAAAGCAGATCTGTCCTCTCTAATTGAAATGCCTGTCTAATGGTGCAGGGAAGCTCATGGAGGTGCTAATCCAGCAGTGCTGTAGCAAGCCCTAGTTTCCTGAGCTGAATCTCTTCTCTTGTTTGGGTGCAGAATGCAGCGTTTTGGTTTCTTTTCAGATCCTCAGAATGAAGGGAGCTGAATACCATCAGACTCCCAGAAAGCTGTCTATGTGAGCTGCCGCTGATTTCAAGAGCGATTAGTAAAGCCAGGGAAGCACATATCTAATTTAATTATATTTTCATGTGAGCTGTAATTTATTCATTTAAAAAGTAATTAACTTGAGCTAGCTGCTGACAAGGAAACACAAATTGACATTTCTTATACAGAGAGCTTTCACCTTTCTCTCCTGTAACCCATTGGTACATTGTTCTCAAAACCGTTTCTGGTTCACTCATAAGAAGTACTTGAGGAGACACCATTGGTTTTTTTTTGTGATTTTTGCTCTCTGGCTAAGCTGCTGCTCCTGTAGGGGCCAAAACATTTTCCCTATAGGCGTCAAGATTAATTCCATTGGACTAATTGGACTCTATTCTTTGATTTGCAGGATATGCTTGTCTACTTATCAGCTTACAAAATGTCTCAGAAACCAGGAAATACATCTCTTTGTGATTCCTATCTCAATTAGAGTACAATTGGTTATCCACAACAGGGTGATGGATGGGTGGGCTGTGATATTGCAGAACTAGAAACCCTGTAGGAAGGCAGAATGAAATATACTAGGCAGCACAGTGCAGTCACTTCTGAATGCTTAAAGTCAGTACGGATACAGATATGTCCTGAAGCTCAGTAAGGCTCTAAATTGAGTGTGGGCTGAGTTATTCAGTTGCTTTTGCACGTTAATTCTTTTCTGATCATAGAAAAGAGGAGAAAATTACAGAGTTTCTGCCTGCACATAGGTTTTTTAGCTCGAGCACTACATTAAATGATTCTATGATTAAGGGATGTAGTTGTGTTCTGGAACACGTTCCCCTTTTGGGAATGGAAGAGCAGGTACTGATAGTAACGTATTAGTCTGGTAAGAAGGGACAGAGATGTGAAGAAATTATAGCAGTAAGTAGAAATGAAGAGATAAGGAAGCTGGAATTGAAAGCAACTTGGATAAGGGGGAAAAATGGATTTTCAAACAAGCAAGACTTTCAAAGTGTTTAGGATTGTGTGGTGCAACATAGGGTAAACTAAATGTGATTTGACTGACTCCTGTATATCAGGAATGAAGATAACCCCTGTACCCCTAAAGACAGAGCTAATATCTCTTTTTAATTTACCTCTTAAATTTTCTGAAGAGCTGCATTTTCAGAAGGGAACCTCATATGGTTAAAAATATACATGTACATATGATGTAGGCCAACACAGGGTATTTTTTTTCAGAGTACTTTCTTAAATGTTCTCCCGTGCTCTTTTTCCCTTGTCAAGTCAATTCCTACACTTATCTAAGTAACACCTGTTTGCACGTTAAAAGCTGAAGTATTTACATGTGTGAATTGTATTTCTTGCAAAATTGACTGATAATCATCATTTCTTTTCATGTTTTGCTTCTCTCTTTGCTGAGGATGCAGAAGAAAAAGCTAAGAAAGAAGCAGAGGAAAGTGTTCATCAGGGAACAGATGAAAAGAAAACAGATGAAAAGGATGAGAAGCCAACTGAAGATGCCACAGCAGCAAAGACAGAGAACAGCAAAGAACCAAATCCTGGGGAAAACAAAAGTTCAGATTCCAATGAAAATTCCCACGTAAATGGGACTGGGCAAACTGGAGTGACCAGACATGAAGCCTCTCAAGGAAAAAGCGTTCCTAGGACAGATAAGGGAATGGATTCTCATCACACATCAAAGGAAGAGAAACATGTCCAGAATGGTAAGTTCTCTCCTTCCACTGAAAGGTGAATGCCACCCTAAACGTGGCATTTCATCTCAGTAATGGGATGGGAGCAGTTGATGTTGTGAAAAAAGTTGTCCTGGGTGCAGAACCTTTTCCTAGAATTCGGCATTGGTACTTCCAAGTATTATTGTTTTGTAAGAGATGGAGCTCATAATGTCTGCTTCATGCTTTTGGCAAAGGGCAATAAGACTCTTCTCATGGAAATGAATCAGCTTGTTTTGATGTACACTTCAAAGCTGAAAGAAACTATTGTGGTTCAGTGAACAGCTTCACTGATTCACTGGTTAGTCAAAAGAGGAGATGCTGAAGATATAAACACTTTCAAAGGCCAATTTAAGGTATCTTTGAACTGATTCTCAAATGTAAATATGTTTTAGGACTGCAGCTCTTTTCCCTTCTCCGCTGCTTTTAAGAGTTATTTTATTTATACTACATTTGTTCTGTTTTATTATGGCAAACATGAGCCTTTTCTTAAAGATTTATTGTCAAAAAACTGTTAGTGAGTTAAAATAATTATATTTTGCACTTAGAAAAGGTGGAAAAAGAACTGAATTGAAAATTGCATACCACATTAAAATAAGTTATTAGACCTAGGAATCACAGAATCACGAAATTGTAGGGGTTGGAAGGAACCTCTGTAGATCATCAACTCCAAATCACCTGCTAAAGCAAGTTCCCTATGGAAAGTCCCACGGGAAGACGTGCAGGTGAGTTCTGAATATCTCCAGACAGGGAGACTCTGCAGCCTCTCTGGGCAGATTGTTCCAGTGCTCTGTCACCCTCAAAGAAAACAAGTTTTTCCTCATGTTTATACTGTAACTTGCTATGTTCCAGTTAAGTGCCAGCTGCCCCTTGTCCTGTTGCTGGGCACCGCTGAAAAGAGCCTGGCCCATCAGCTTGCTTCCAGCCCTGTAGGTATTTGTAAACAAGGAGAAAAGGGAGCAGAGGATGCAGGTTTCCCTAGAGGGATGCAAAAGAATCCCCTATAGTTATACACACTCTGGAGGTGGCTGACCTTCTGGCTTACGTCATAGGAGGCAGCTAAGGAACATTTGTCACTGTTCTGGTTGGCCTGGCTTATTTCCCAGTTGGTTGCAATGGAGCACTTGAACCCCACTCCCCAAGTCCTTCATTTTAAAGCCTGCTTCACTAGTTTGGCCAGCCTGCTGCCAAACTCTGCCAAACCTGCCTCTTCTAGACAGGTGGATCCCATCCCTCCCTAACAGGTCCTTTTCTTCACAGGGAGTCCCATTCTCATAGAAACCAGACCATAAAAACCTTGAGCTAGCACCAGCCACATAGCCAGCAGTTGATACATATTACATGCCTATTTCTGGCTTTCCTCTTTTCTCCAACTGGCAAGATTGAAGAAAAGATAATCTGGACAGTAGGACTTTTCACTTGCACTCCCAGGACTTTGTTGTCTTATTTGATTCTGTCCCTGAGAACAGATCAGTTGGCTATTGGCCATTTCACTGTCCTTCCCTCGCCAGCCTTGCTCCTCTAAGTCATTAGCAAGAAATGACAGTACAGCCTCATGTGATTTCTCATCATCTTGGTAACGTCAGCCAGTTCAAAACCAGCAAAACACTGAGATTCTGAAGCATCCTCTTAGGAAAAAATGAGTAATTGTATAGATATTGAAATTCCGGGGCTAAGGCAGTGGACTTAGATGGCAGCTGAGGCAAGAATTCTGTTTGAAGTACTCCTGGTATGACTGGATGCAGGCCTTCCCCAGTGATTCTTTTGTCATTAGATGTTTTTAGATTGGAAGGACTAGATAGATCCAAGTTGTCATGCTGTTACACATGGGATTTTTCTTTCAGCAGTGTTTGTGGGCCCCACAAAGAAACAAGAAGGTTGGCGATGTGAAATCCCAGTTAGACTGCAATAGATTTTGCTCCTGAAATCCTTTATTTTACAGGCTTCTAACAACATAAGGGCTAAGTATGCTCTGGTGATTTTCACCATACCTTTTTCTGCAATGTCTCTCTGCTGCAGGTGTCTGAAGTGCTTTGGAAGGAATTATAATGATTTCTGCAAATTAGTGTCTTCCTTAGGGCAAGAAATTCTGCTCTTTAATTTATGGGAGAAGGCCCTAATGAATTACATTCTCTGCAGAATCTTTGGAGACTGATGAAATCTAACATTCATGTATCTGGGTTCATGCAGTTTCCTTTATTTTACATCTGTTAATACCTCGTCATGAGATATCTGCCTTTGCCTTTGTCATCTCTTTCAGAAAGATCATTATGATCATGATCACTGCTCTGCTACTGGCAGTATGGCATGGTAGATATCACAATACCCAGCAGTCTCCTATTCATAAAAAGATATTCAATGAAAGTTAAAAACTGTGTTGTCAGAGGAGCTGGAAGTCTCTCTCACTTCTCACTCCCTGCTCACTTCCCTTGTGCTTTCTCAGAGATGTCAAACTGGGAAATAAAGTGTGTGTGCATGCCCATCATCTTTGCCTGCACGCACTTAGGGTCAAGTCCCTCATTTATGCAGTGGGAATGTAAGAAGCCTTCTGTGCCTTGCTGGGTACATTTTCATTTCATCTTGAATACAGTGTCCTTGTAGAGATCATCTTTTTCAAGCAGACACCTCAGTCCTACCTGGAGTACCTGGAGCTGCTCATATCTCTCTTCAGATTGGACTTTCCAAAGAAGCCCGAATCAATGGCAGTATATAATAAGCTGAGGAAGTTGCTGTCTGTCTCATGTCTTGTTTTCATTTTTTTCTCACCTACACAATGGCCTTAATAAGAAAACCATGGAAGTTTTGGTTCTAAATGAGAACAAAACAGGACATGTTTTTTCCATCTTGCTAAGTGTTTTAAGATTTCAAAACCACTTTTCTATTACAGGAATATTAATTAGAGAGGGAGAAACAAATCTCCTGTCATCCAAGAACAACAGTTGTTCCAGTGGTTAGGGCACAGTTTAGAAGAGGCGGACCTCATTTCTCTACATTTTCACTTTTTTGAGCTGTTTCAAAAATAAATACTCATTGACAGTAACTGTTTTGAAGGCAGATTTGTTCCTCTCTATCATAGCAATCCCTAAGTTCTCGATCCAAAGGCTAGGAAGTGGTAATAATAGCAAAAAATAGTAATACAGCTGGAATAAGCGTTGCTTTTATACAGCCATGTACTTCGAATTTACAACATTCTGAAGTGAGATTTAATACAGGGTTTTTTTCATGTTGAGACGTGGCTTACAAATTCCCTGCTGCTCTCTTTTGGGTGAAGGAAGAGATGCCTGCTCCTATCTGTACAGGCTGCCATTGGACTTCTCTGGACATCTCTGGACATCTGCAGGAAGCAGACCTCCTTTGTTGCTGAATGAGCCCTATTCTACTGTATCTATCCCTTGAAGTAAATTTTAGTTCATAGTGGCATTTGGCAACAGAACATTATTTTCAGTGGGGAGATGGTCTGGGAAGAAGAAATCTTTCTTGGATGTTGACATTTGATGGGGTTACAGGCATTAATATACTGCAGTTTGAATTATAATGCTTATAGTATCCCTTCTTTCTTCATTCTAGGTGAAATAAAGGAAGACAGTATGGCAGACAAAAAAGATCAATCTAGTGTGGGAAATGAATCAAAGAAAACAGATGGTAAGGACTTACTATTTTGTTTTGTTTTGTCACTCATTTCTATATGCAATCTATTGTTTTATAAGCATCCATATTTTATGATTAAAAAAAATTGTGTGGTCACCTGAAAAACATTTAACAGAAACAGTCATTAGATATGACAGAAGCCATTAGGGGTATTCTGGGGGAAAATCATCTCTTTCAAGTAATGTCTAATGCCACTTAATTTTTCTGTTGGTAAACCATCTTCTTTATCTTCTTGAACAATTTCTGTGCACCATCCATAAGAAAAATCCTGGATTGTTTGAACTGCTTAATACGAAACATGGGTTTGTAAGGTTCTATCCTTCTGAGTTTCTTTGAGCCAAATTCTGCTCTCGGTATCAACTGTATGGGGTGCAAAACACAAATCTAAGCAAAACCCTGAACAAGGTGCATCTCCTTTTTTCTGGTTGCACATCACATTATGTCTGTCCAACCACAAAGGTTTCTTGACTTAATGCTCTGAGGTGGAATTTGCCAAGTGCTGTTGAACCACAGGTATGGGAAGGAAGCGAGCAAGAGTAGGCACATCAGCACAGAAGCGCTGTTAAGGACACTCTAGAAAAGGGATATTGCTAAAACACTTTTGAACTGAAACACCCCCAAGTTGTATGACAGTTTCTTGAACACCTAGAAATAATTTCATACAGCCCTGAGCCTATTGTAAATTTTCACAGATGTTTTAGTAGCATCAGCAAAGCAGAAAAACGCCTATAAGAGATGTGGCATGTGTGCTCTTCTGCTTCTCAGCTGTGCAGCAAAAGGCTACAAGATAGTATCTGACTCCACATCACCCCAGAACTGATTGCTTAAATACTGCATAGCAGAATAAATGGAAACAAATGCTACAGCTAAGATTTCCTTTGTATGTCTCGATTAAATCCATTGAAATGTTCCTAAATATAAATAGTGCAGTATTGTGTTTTAATGATCAAGAAAGGCAACCTCGTTTTAAGTGCTGCAGTTGAGAAGGATGCTGTTTGCTTTTACTGTTACCTTGTAAGAAATTACTTTGTGTTCTTACTCTTGCAGAAAAGTGACAAATAAGAAGATAATGTTATCCTTAGCAAAAAGAAAAGAAAAAAGTAAAGCAATTCATCTATAATCACATGTATTAATTTCAGACACACAAATATGTAGTTTATACAGAGCTCTGTTAGCAATGATTGTTCAGGAAAAATCAATTATTTGTTGGAATATTTATACACTTATTGTTTATACACTTCGGATAAGTGTCTGTCAGGAAGAGTCGTGAATGAGTACCATTCATAACTCTTTACACAGTATGCAGAAATAAAGAGCAAATATTCAATTAGCTGCCTGGCTCTGCAGGCATTTATGAATACGTGCATGTCTTATGTAGCTGTAATGGCTTCACAAGGATTAGTAGCAGGAATGGCTTCTCTCCCCACTGCAGTTGGTGATGGCAGAACAGTGGCTGTGTAGAAAGACTGCTCCCTTGGCAGAAAGCTTGGGGTTTCTCTTAGCAGATGCAGGGGCGTCAGACCAACCATGAGAGTAGGCTTGGGAACCCCTAAACTTGAGGACAAGGTCACCTTTGAAAGCTTGCAGTCGCAGTCTCTTGGAAAGAGTAGGGACACCTATTTAATCTGGCTGGAAGACAAAGAGGTGTATGTTTCATGCTGACTTAAAAGTATGGTAGTAAATTTGTTTACTTCCAACTTGCTAGTCTTGGAGTGCTGTTAGCTATTTAATCTGTTTGTTCTTCTGCAAGGATGTGTTCTGCTCAACCCCTTAAGGAAAAGACCAGTGCCATGAGATCAGCTGATTACAGTGAATAAGGAACTGTAACCAAGCAAAAACAATTTATGGGCTCCATATTTTTCATTCAAATGCTGTAGAGAGAGATTATGACTAATGATGTCACTAACAGAAATAGGGAATATCTGTGAAAGACAAGCCCTAGGAAAGTATTGGGATATTGGGCACTTGTGTTTTGAGAAATACTGCGTGACCCCTTCTGTCCATTGCTCAGTCCTGAGCAAATCTCCTTACCAGCCATGTAAGGGATGCAGCAAAATGAATCTTGCCCACAAGCAGTACGTTGCTGTTTGTAGACTACTGAACTATGTACCCAAACATATGGTTTCTCATCTGCTGGGACATGGTCCTTCATATACTGGGAAAAAAGCAGAGGAGTTGGAAAGACTCAGGTTACAGCACTGGAATTTTCTCACCACTTCTAGATTGCTTTCGAGTGAATATCAGCCCAGGTTTTAGCAGCATCAGGCCTGGTGCTTGGGTTTCACAGCCTCTTAGTCTGCAAGTGGGGTGTATTTGTGTGAAATAGGTGCTCATTTGTGCAGATTCATCACACCCCATGCGGGCTTTGGCTTTCTTTTGGCCTCCCATTAGCATCAGCTAGAGCCCTGCACCCAAGCTGAGGTCAGTCTGCTGTTCTGTCCTGCTGTGAGAAAAAAGCTGCAGTGTAACTACAGGAATCTTTACATGATCTTGCCCACGGTACTTTTTGAGCACATACAAGATGTTACTGTAATGTGTTCTAATTGGAATATGTAAGTGCTAAAGCATTTCTAATCATCCTTGTACTTCATGGTGAACCAGGTGGTCAAGGAAATACGAATAACCATCCTATGTGGACACAAAGACATTAAGTGGCTTGCCTGCGCTGTAGTCACAGGTGCAACATGTGTCAGTGCTACCTTTATGCTACCCACAGATTGGTGTGCATGCCTCCAGAAATAGGGATCAAGCTCTGTAAGCCACTAGGAAGCTATAAATGCATCTAGCCAGAGCTTCACACAGCTGAATCTATTGGTACCACAGCCTGCTAGTTTAAATAGTTTGAGGACACCTGTGCAAGCTGCAGTTGTGCCTTAGAATGCAGTATTAAATGCTTCAAAATCTTGTTTGAGTTTCTTAAACACAGGATAGCATCCTCATTGTCATGTAATCTTCCTGTTATTGGCTTTTTGTTTGTTCTGTGGGACATTCAGTTGTTACTCAGTGCTGCCCTTATCTTCAGCTTCGAGAGAAGAGATATGAGACTGCCATTTCTTTGTAAAGACACAGTCCTATCTGACATCATCAGCACCAACAGCATCATCAAATGTTTTCTGTGGGATAAAGTGTTATTAAATCATTTTGGGAAACCTGATTTTCCCCTGTGAAATAGTCACTATTCAATACTTGGAATGGAAATCTTAAAGCAGTCACACAGAAATAATTTTTTTATACATTCACAGCATTTATTTTTGCGATTTTTTCTACTCACATACTTAGAATAAATGAGAAAACTTTTTACATCATGTTGCACTTTCACAAGTTATGGCTTCATTTCTTTTTCCTACTAGGGAAAATGTCTGCAATATTAAGTTTTCAGTGCAACTCTTTGTTCCAGTCACCAAAATACAGTTTATTCTGCTACTCTTTTTCAGCTAGGAAATAACAGAAATTTGCAGGTTCATTTGTGTGTGTTTGTGTTTATGTGTGTTTGTGTGTGTTTATGTGTATTTATGTGTGTTTTCCTGGCAACTTATCTCATGGTAAAAAGCAAATCTGCTTCTTGAAGCACAGAAATACATAGGGTATTACTGCTCGTATCTTGAACTGCTGATATGTGCTGGGAAAGCCTTGTGTGCCCTGGCTGTGTACGATGAGCAACACTCCCACCTCGTGGTCAGATCTTACCCCTACATTTCAATAGCACTTGCCTCTGTGCGGTGCAAAAGCAAATAATACAGTACATTACAATGCAAGGCAGTATGCATCTTTTCACATGTTCACATGTACAGTCTCTACGATGAGTACATACATTACAAGCATTCTAGGGATTTAGACCTTTATCACAGAGTCATAGAATGGCTTGGGTTGGAAGTGATCCCAAGGATCATCAAGTTGCAACCCCCCTGCTACAGGCAGGGCCACCAACCTCCAGATGTGGAACTAGATCAGGTGCCCAGGGCCCCATCCAACGTCACCTTGCACACCTCCAGGGATGGAGCATCCACAGCTTTTCTGGAAAGCCTGTTCCAGCACCTCACCTCTCTCTCTCTGTGAAGAACTTCCCCCTGACGTGCAATCTAAACCCTTCCTCCCTGAGCTTAAAACCATTCTCCCTTGTCCTCTTACTGTCTACCTTTGTAAGAAGTTGCTTCTTCTCTTTTTTATAATCCCCTTCTAGATACTGGCAGGCTGCAGTGAGGTCTCCTTTCAGCCTTTTCTTCTCTATGCTGAACAAGCCCAGCTCCCTTAGCCTGTCCTTGCATGGGAGGTGCTCCAGCCCTCTGGTCATCTTCATGGCCCTCCTCTGGACTCACTCCAACAGCTCCACATCTTTCCTACACTGGGGGCCTCAGACCTGGATGCAGTACTCCAGATGGGGCCTCATGAGGACAGAATAGTACTTTATCTTCTTTTGTGTTTTGTTTTGTTTTAAGCTAGACTGTTGCTTAATAGTAGTTCAAATCCTTTCCTATGGGTTCTGTACATTGACCATGCCAACGTGTAGAGCTCCTTTCGGTCTTATTTTTTCTTGACAATCAGCAAGTACAAAATTCCCTGTTTAGAAAGGTAAAATACAGGGGCTCTGTCACTTCCTATCACACATGTGATAAAAGAAAATCAAAAATGAAGCATTCGTGATGGAGTAGCTTGCACAGAGCATTGCTATCTGGGAATGTCTTTGGTGTAGGAGTGCTTTTCTTGAGAGGACTTTAAATGATGATGTGGTGGAGCTGTGATGATGGCCCTACTTTTACTGCAGATACAGTTGAGTTAACAGAATTCTTCCCTGTTAATATAGAGGAGAATGCAGCTTTTCACAAAGTTGTTCAGCCGCTTTATGATGATCTGTCTTTGCAGCCTTCTGCAGATATGGTTTTCAGACGTGCATTTTGTGTGTTGTTCTAGGTAAGACCAATACATTGCACTGAACACTAGATTTCTTCTGTCAAAATCTTGCTTGTATAATCTGCATGATGCTAGTGCTGTTCTAA